TCGATGCTGTAATGGATTGTATCGATGATGTCATTGTTGAATGTTAAGGCCCTTTAATCAATCCATGCTGCATGGATTGATCGATACTGCCAGGGTGTGTGGCATGGCGTGTTCGTAACCGCTCCACCATTGAGACCATCGATTGCCGGTGGCTTTACGAAATTAATAATACAATTGTAATTAATAAAAGTAATAATAAAAAATAAGAAATCGTGATTTTTTATTTTATTTTATTATTTTTTACCGACGTGACTTTACCTAAAAAACCTAAGAGTATGGATCCTTGCAGTCACGAAAGCTTCAAATCTAGAATTTATGAAATTTCTACTTATTATATTTTTTGTAAGTTAACTTTCCTATACTTTGCACTCCTATCGGTGTTTGTGTTGTTTGGCCATCTGTGAGAGAGAAAAAATAGCTTCATAGCTCATCAGATTTCTCCTGCAGTCTCAATAAAGATTCCGATTCTGAAATTCCCCCATCGCTCATTGGCGGGCAGTCGCTCCTCTCGCCTGGCTCACCACACAACCTCCTCCACATCAACGTCCAACATTACTCATCACCCAGCCATACGAATTCAGAACTTGCCAATCAACTATAAACCAAATAGGTACCATGCAGGAACGCCCCCTCTCCCCAGAATCTGCTTAATTGAATCCCTTCATAATATGTTCTGGGGGCCATCCGCTATCAGCAGCAGCCCAGCAAACGGTGAACACTTTTGGCCCACGTTGATCCAACGCGTGTATCCACATTCCGAAATTGACTCAACGATAGCATGTTTACTGGGAGTTAATCTTTGGCAATGGCTCCATGCTTGTTTACCGAGGGCGGGGTACCACTACACAGTAGGTTGGTACCAGTTAAGAGCCTTTGCGAAATTATTCTCTCTCTCTCTCATGCGAAGCGTTATACTGGTAGGAACCTCCTGGTTACACCAGCCCACAGCGGATTATTGTGTCCGTCCGTCCGTCGTGAAGGGAGGGGCTGGGTGGGGAGGGTGGGGAGGGGCTGGGTGGGGGGTGGGAGGGGTGGGAAGGGTGGGGCTGGGTGGGGAGGGGCTGGTCACCCCGTGGTGCCCTTATAAAACTCAACGTTTAACCTACTCACGCCGGCTTGTGCCCGCCCTCACAGTCGGGCATATTTGCGGAATACACCACGCCGCCGTTGACCCTGCAGGTCATTGACCGAGCAACCCAACGTTCCTACCAGCTCCCTCCATAGAAATGTGTTAGTTCATCGGATGGTTAGATGTTGGCTACCTCGCCTGGTGTGCAGGAGGTCGAGGGTTCGATCCCGAACCTGACACCTGCTGCTCTATATTTGGAATTTGCGTGTCTCTCTCTCTCTCATCATCATCACGGTGGCTAGGAGATGTTAACTACCTCGCCTGGTGTGCAGGAGGTCGGGGGTTCGATCCCGACCCTGACACCTGCTGCTGTATATTTGGAGTTTGCGTGTCTCTCTCTCTCCCCGTGTTATTTTTTTCTCCGGATCTTCCGGTTTTTCCTTCCACATTTAGAATCACGCGTTTAGACTATTTAGATTATTTTTCTGCTTTTAATATCCAAATGATGGGCCACTATGTTGAGCTATCATTGGTGGCCAGGTCGCTTTTGAAAAATAAGTGAATACCCCAGTGGGCTTTGCCTGCGAGGATGGGGATGGTTTGGTTGTATTTGTTCGTGTAATTTGTTTATCTTGCTTGTACTTTTCACTGCTATCATGTTTTTTTGTCCTCTCTGTTGTTGTAATATTCTTGAAAAAGAGCTTAATAGCTCATCGGATTCCTCCGGTATAAATACATATTATGATTCATGCTGTAGGCTAAATAAATATTATAATTCTGAATGTACAGGGCTTTGAGATCCCTGATGAAAAGCGCTATTTCAGTGGACTGATTGTTAATTGGTATTATGTGTGTTGTGATGATGTGAAGGCTTTTCCCACGCCAGGCTCATAGCGAGGTGAGTTTCAATGTAATGTGTATTTAAGTTAAATGTGCTTACACCGCCCCCTGCTGAATGCTCTCCGAACAGACACAACGACATTGCATTAGAGTCAACATGGGACCTTTGTTTCTGCCAGTGTCAAATTACGAAAAAAAAACCAAGAACAGGTTTTACCCTTTCTGGCAATAAAACTGGTGCTAAGATGTTCAAACACACATTGTCCCTTGTGAAAAGATTTCTATTTGGCGTTTTAACGTCTTAACACATGTTTTTATTGCCGGAAAGGATATAACTTATTCTTATTTTTCAAGCTAAGGGCCACTTTTACACGGCACATTACTGTACTTTAATTGCATGTTGCAGTGAATTTTGTGAATCCGCCGGTGGGTGAAAGCCTGCCAACACCGTGCCACTCACTGGGGCTGTCTGACCATACTTCACCAGGCTCGTCAGCGAGTGAGTGGTGGTGTTGACGGGCAAAATTAAAGTCGAATGTCTTCATCGGTTCGGGCAGTGGTCTTTATCTGGTGGTGGCCTTTGATGCGGCCACCGACGCCAAGAGGCTAAACACCCTTTTTCCGGATGACGACCGCTTGTGTTGCGATCGAAACGTCGTGGTTTTTGTTTTTATTTGATCTTATTCAGGTTAGAACCAGGTTACAGTCTACATTATAGACTGCCAGTAGACTCATCCAGCTTAAAAAAACAGGCTACAGTCTACATTATATACTGCCAGTACACTCACCCAGATTAATAACCATTGCTACAGTCTACATTATAGACTGCCAGTACACTCACCCAGCTTAATAACCAGGCTACAGTCTACATTATAGACTGCCAGTACACTCACCAAACTTAATAACCAGGCTACAGTCTACATTATAGACTGCCAGTACACTCACCCAGCTTAATAACCAGGTTACAGTCTACATTATAGACTGCCAGTACACTCACCAAACTTAATAACCAGGCTACAATCTACATTATAGACTGCCAGTACACTCACTCAACTTAATAACCAGGCTACAATCTACATTATAAAGTCGGAGAGTGGGGTGGTGAGTGTGGTGGTGAGTGGGGTGGAGAGTGTGGTGGTGAGTGTGGTGGTGAGTGGGGTGGTGAGTGTGGTGGTGAGTGGGGTGGTGAGTGGGGTGGTGAGTGTGGTGGTGAGTGGGGTGGAGAGTGGGGTGGTGAGTGTGGTGGTGAGTGAGTTGGTGAGTGGGGTGGTGAGTGGGGTGGTGAGTGGGGTGGTGAGTGTGGTGGTGAGTGTGGTGGAGAGTGGGGTGGTGAGTGGGGTGGTGAGTGGGGTGGTGAGTGAGGTGGTGAGTGGACTGGTGAGTGGGGTGGTGAGCGTGGTGGTGAGTGAGGTGGTGAGTGTGGTGGTGAGTGTGGTGGTGAGTGGGGTGGTGAGTGGGGTGGTGAGTGGGGTGGTGAGTGAGGTGGTGAGTGTGGTGGTGAGTGGACTGGTGAGTGGGGTGGAGAGTGGGGTGGTGAGTGTGGTGGTGAGTGAGTTGGTGAGTGGGGTGGTGAGTGGGGTGGTGAGGTGGTGAGTGGGGTGGTGAGTGTGGTGGTGAGTGAGTTGGTGAGTGGGGTGGTGAGTGGGGTGGTGAGTGTGGTGGAGAGTGGGGTGGTGAGTGGGGTGGTGAGTGGGGTGGTGAGTGAGGTGGTGAGTGGATTGGTGAGTGGGGTGGTGAGCGTGGTGGTGAGCGAGGTGGTGAGCGTGGTGGTGAGTGTGGTGGTGAGTGGGGTGGTGAGTGGGGTGGTGAGTGTGGTGGTGAGTGAGGTGGTGAGTGGGGTGGTGAGTGAGGTGGTGAGTGGGGTGGAGAGTGGGGTGGTGAGTGTGGTGGTGAGTTGGTGAGTGGGGTGGTGAGTGGGGTGGTGAGTGGGGTGGTGAGTGTGGTGGTGAGTGAGTTGGTGAGTGGGGTGGTGAGTGGGGTGGTGAGTGGGGTGGTGAGTGGGGTGGAAATTGACGGGTTTGGCAGGAACGATGTAAGTTGTGGCACAAGCACAAGACTCATGAGGGTCGTTGTGGAGACGAGTACACAGTGAATAACAAATAAAGTTTGAGTAAAACAAACTCAGCACTTTGTCAATAACACCACGGCGTTTAAAGGGGGGAGGGGGAGAGAACAACACGTGTATAATAGGCGACGTTTCGCGCAATGGCCCTTCTTCAAAGCACAATATATCAAACTGTGCATATTAGAGTCTTCATTTAGACTGCAGGAGGAATCCGATGAGCTATGAAGCTCTTTTTAACAGATGTCCAAAAATATCCCCCAACTTTAATTGGATAATATTGGTCGCGAAAGTCTACTACGACTACTAACTACTGTAGTAATAGGTTTTTACCCTCATAGTGTAAATACTAACTACTGTGTTTTAAACTTAACGTTACCGGCAAAAAAGTAGTTCCATTAATACCCCACCCCGCAGCCCCCCCTTGTTGACATCCCCCAACCAATCAGCGAGGCGGAAACACTCCGCGCCGAAGATTGGTCGATTCACCGCCGCGGTGGCAAGTGGGGGTGGGGGGAGTGGGGGTGGGGCAGCGAGAAGTTCCCGCTGACCAATGGGAGGTCGCGTCGTGGGTGTGGCGCGAGGCGTTGCCCGTGGCGACAGGAAGCCCGGGGGCTTTGACCGGAAGCCCGCGTGTCTCCCTTGGGGGAGACCGAGGGGAGGGGGAAGACCGAAGGGGGCGGAACCGAGTGGGGGGGGGGGCGAGGAGGGGAGGGGGGGAGACCGAGGGGGGGGTGAGGGGGGATACCGAGGAGGGGGGGGGATACCGAGGGGGGGTGACAGAAGGAGGGGGGGCCGAGGGGGGGGGAGACCGAGGGGGGGGTGAGGGGGGATACCGAGGAGGGGGGGGGGAGGGGGATACCGAGGGGGGGTGACAGAAGGGGGGGGGGTGACAGAAGGGGGGGGGCCGAGGGGGGGGGGGAGACCGAGGAGGGGGTGAGGGGGGATACAGAGGGGGGGCCGAGGGGGGGGGGGCCGTGAGGGGGGGCGACTGTGAGGGGGGGGGGGCGACTGTGAGGGGGGGGGCGACCGAGGGGGGGGGGGGGGCGACCGTGGGGGGGAGGAGTCCGAGGGGGGAGGGGCGGGGCGAGGGGCGCTGTGGGCGCCATGCGGAAGCGGCTGCTCGTGGTGGTGGCGGCGCGCCCTCTCCTGCAGCTCCACGCGCTCTCCGCTCTCTCCGCCTGCAGGTAGTGGAGGCGCTCACTCCGCTCTCGTGTGTCGCTGTGTGTGTGTGTGTTGGGTGATGGTGTGGGGGGAGCGGTGGCACAGTCGTGTGGGTTACAGCCGGCGGGCGCGTCTGTCAGTCGTCGTAGTCGGTCAACCCATGGCACCTGCTGGGTCTGTCCCCTGACTTGCCAGCAGCGAGCCTTCGACATTGAACGTGCACCTAGCCTGGCACAGACGCGCCGTGGTTGATGTCACCGTGGCTTCGTAACGGTGTGGTGTGTGTGGGGAGCGGTGGCGCAGCGGTTAGCGCAGCGCGCTACCAACCCCGGCCACCCGAGTTCGATTCCCGATCACGGCCAACACCTGTGACGATTATCTGAACCGGTCCTGGGTCTCCCCTAGGTCGACTCGGTGCTGTGTGTAAATATTCCCATTGTGGGGAGACAAAGGCGGTCGTGCGTGGTGCTGTCCACCCACCCCCTCGTGTGCCGTGCCGGCCTTAAGAGGTGCTCGCTAACAGCACTTGCCCCCACAGTCTGTTAGACAATGGTTCTGATACAGATTAAGTGTATTTAGCTGGGAACCCGAGGCTGATTATAATCTTCATAATCGATTTCAGTATTCGCTGTCGTCTCTCGGGACCTGATGGAGGGAGAGGAGCTGTTGGCAAACTCATCGCGTTTGAGTTCCACTCCTTATTTTCGCAGTCTCTTATTAAAGTCAACTCTTGTCAATTGTGTCCCACTGATGCAAGGCCGTAGCCATGGAGTCAACATTGGGGGGGGGGGATCAAATTTTCCAGGGGGTCCAGGCCCCCCCCCAGAAAAAAATCTAAATTTTAAAGCGAATTTCCTGCCTAAAATATTTAAAAAATTCACTAACACATGGGATGGACTTTTTATTTATTTTTTACAATAATGTCTAATAGTGTATTGTATTACATTGCTCTGTTTTATCTTTTTTTTACCTTTTCTTGTTTCATTGTATGTAATTCACAGAGATTAGGGATTCATAAAGTACACCCATAACCACAATCATATAAACAGAAATCAATTTTTAGCGATATTTTGGGAGGGGGGGTCATTTTGAGCATTTTTTTATATTGGGGGGGATGTGGCTCCCCTCCCAATTTATCTTATTATTATTACGGCCTTGCACTGATGTGTACAACGTGGCTTTTCCGACGACCGTGCATCATTCACCATGAGATTGTACCCCTTCAGATTTCAGAAGAGCACTGACACTTTCAGTTCCCCTTTCGAGGAGAGAAAGGCAAAACAAAAAAACCAGGAGTAGAGTTCGAATGAATAACATCGTCTGAATGGGTCCGCATTCTCGCCACAAAGTGCAACAGTAATTTCAGCGAAGAGAGGTCAACGAACATGTTGAAAACTTCGTTCGCACCGTACTTTGGAGATGTGTTTGGTGCTTGCAGTGGCAATGAAAACACTTCCAGCTTGTAACGCGTCTCGCAGTGTGTTCTGTCACTCGAGGAGAGAGATAGCGAAGGGAAAGCACAGACTAGGGGGATGGCAGCAGCCAAATTAAACTCAAATTTGTTTTTTTTATTTTACCAGGTAAGGCCCCATTGAGCGATGTAGATAAAAAAAATTTGACGCTTTTATTCAACACACTCCGTCTGTTCTCTTATCCTCAAAAAAAATCTTGTAACTCAATTTTTACCCACTTCCCAATGTGCCATCTACTGCAAACTTGGTATATTTATGTCATACTGATGACAGGACTATATTCTATAATTAAAGTTTAAAAAAATATATATTTTTAAACATTTTACACGCTGTTATTTAACTCACTCTGTCTGTAGTATCCTCAAATCTTGTAACTCAATCTCAACCGTCTTCCCAATGTCGTATCGACTGCACACCTAGTATAGGTATGTCATACTGATGACAATACTATATTCTATCATTGAAAATAAAAAATAAAAAATTTTAACAATCTTTTTTACGGCTCTAATTGTCCACGCTCAACTGACGTTGGCTGTAAATCACCACGTGGTCCCTGACGTCACGGCAAGCCACGGGGAGCCACGCCCAGGGGCGGGGGATGTGGAAGGAGGGGAGGGGCGATGGGGGAAGGGGGCAGGGGGAGGGGCAGCTCGGACAGTACATTTCATTAAAGCGTGGTTTTTAAAAAAAAAAGTATTTTAAATATTTTTAGGAGAGACCTGGCTATCACAAATGGTAACTTCAACAAAGTGGCCTGTCGTGTGGGAATTTATAGCAGCAAAATACTCTTAAACGCGTGGTGTTGAGTCAAAATGTGGAGGGAAAAACCGGAGGATCCGGAGAAAAATCCACGCACCCACGGAGCGAGAGATACACGCAAACTCCAAATATACAAGGGTCAGGGTCGGGATGGAATCCACAACCTCCTGTATATCAGGCGAGGTAGTTAACATTTCACCATCATAACTTTGTCCCTTACCCGCCCAAACCCTGTGATCCTCTAGATATGAAAGTGTAACGGAATAATTAATGGAGGTTTACATGTGGGAGGAAACCCTCACGCGTGTGTGAGCGGGGACACGGCTCTTAAACAGAGAGTGTGGTGGACACGTTACGTATAAGAGGAAACCAGCCGATCGTTCATCGATGGGGAGTAGCGCTGGGCCAGGTGTTTAGGAACATTATCTTTGAACTCGGTGGTCACCTGAGTTCAAGTTTCCAGCTACGGCTAACATCAGTGGTGAGTGATGTCTCAATGGATTTATAGATGCCTCGCCCATACCCCCGTACGTCCTTCAACCCGAACTGAACAGCGGGGTAGAGTGTGGTCACCTCCGATCAGCAACTGTTGGCTACGTAGGGTGCGAAAGAAGTTCAATGTACGCACGTACACGCGGACCCCACGACGAACACGGCGTGGGGAGGCATTCATCCAGCAGTGAATCGGCAGTTGGGTGCAAAATATTGCTGATTAGTCGCTTTACAAGCAGAGGAAAAGTCAAAAGAGGCGAGCGTCTGCTTCTTCTAAACAATTGAGAGGGAGTCGGCAGTGGAGATTACCATGGGCAATGGAGTTGCAGGCAGTGGGGCAACAGAAGAGAAGGTGCGACCACCCATTGGGCAGAACTTGTAAGTCCGTAGTCAAGTTGCCCCCCCCCCTCCCGCCCCCTCTTCTAGTGTTAATTTAGTCAACAAATTTAAAGTTTTACCATTGTCGACTAAATACTTTGACAGGTCTTACTTAGTTTGTGAATTAAGTCTAGTCATTCTCTTCGTCTCGTCAGATAATTCGATCAGCCAATCCGCTGATTCGGCAAATAGTTTTGTATATGCTTATAGCCAATTACTCTTTTTGGTCTTTCTCAGTGTTTCTTAAAACGTTGCTGAATTGTCTCAGTCTGCTTCTTCATTCATACGAGTCTTAATTTGTCTCGTCATAGGAAGTCATGCTTCGACATTTGGTGGGCAGTCATTGAAATGCTTTATGATATTTATTCACCTGTAGTCTTTGTTGACCAAAATTAAAATGCAATTCGTTGACGAATATTTTCGTCACTAGCGCGGTCAACAAATGAACCGTTGTTAGGCCACGGTTTTTGCCTTCCGACTGGTACGAGGGATGGCCAGGATGGCCCTAGCGTAGCTTCAATCGGGGAAGCACTTTAAATTTCACTTCTAGACGGCAAATGGCACGATTACCATTGAGCAACCATTGGATCGGTCCACCCCCGGCACGCCTCGCATGTCGCTAACAGGAGGATCGCGTTGCCTTCGTGTTCCCCCTCTCACGTGCAGGGTCGACGCGAGTGTGGGATCCTTCCTCTCGGGCCAGTGGTGCAGCTCGTCAACCGCCCGCGGAGCGATGGCTGCGGGACCGCCGCCGCCGCCGCGATCGTGCAGTGCCGCGGGCCGCGACGCCTTGGCGGCCGGAGGCTGCGCCCCCCTCAACGTGAAGTGCCGTGGGGGGCTCTACTCCGGCTCGACGGTGAAGCGCTTCCCCGTGCCTGACGACCACGTGGCCTGGGGGGCGGCCTTCCCCGAGTACGCGCCCAAGGAGTACACGGCGCCTGCCGTGCTCGCGGGACCCGTGTGGGCCGACCCGCAGCACACGTGAGCGATGCCAACCCGTGCTGCTGCTGCTGCTACGTACTGCTTCGATTTCGGCTGCTTCTGTTCCTGAGACTTTGTTACTTCGACTGTTGGTTGTGCTGCTGATGCTCTTGCTGGTACTACTTTTGTTGGTCCTGCTATTGCTTCTGCTGTTGCCTTTCCTGTCGCTGCTGCTACTGTACTGCTGCCGCTGCTGCTGCTGATTTTGACGTTGCTTCTGTTGGTATTGCGATTGTTCGTGCTGCTGCTGATGCTACTGTTTCTACCGTCAGCGCAGTTTATTGCTTTTGCTCCGTTTTGTTCGATTGTGCTACTCGTGATCATTTGAAGGCAGTAGAGAGAGAAACTGCCCTACCTTAGCTTTTAGATTGGGGTGGGGATCCAGACTAATGGCGTTCCTCTGTGGGCCCTCTCAGCAACCTGACGTAGGCTGCTCATCACCCCCAACTCAACATCGAATCCAGACGCCTGTTAACGACAGCGAAATGTATCCACGTCACCTTCTGTGTGCTGTGAAAAGCAGCGGCATAGCAGGGTTGGCATGGGCTGTTGTACAAGAATTGAAAAATGGGGTGACTCTCTGTCCCAATGTTTTGCCTCTTCGTAGCCCGGGGGACCTGAGACCCTCTGGTCAGTGGCCCCGAGTGCAGTTGCACCACCTGCACGCTCGACGGCCCAAAGCTTAATGGAACAAGACTTGCCAGCCTAAATATTGTGCGGTATTCTTCATTAATGATTTTTTTCCGACTTTAATCGGGCAGGGAAGACTGGGGTGGGCGACCGCCTAAGTTCAATGAACTGGACGGGAAGATTGACCGCAGGAGCCACATGGGACGCTACGAGGTGATCGACGGACTCTCCAGGTGAGTTCTTTACACTCGGTCTCACTTGGAGCGGTCGCTTGCTCGCCTTCACCTCGTGTGACACAGCACGTCTCAGGCGCAGTATTCTTTGGTGGTGTTCGTAAACAAAGAGTGGAGTAGCACGGTGAGTGATTCGTACTTTTCGGTCCAGATTTCCCTCGTGATTCACGAACTCGCTAGCTTCGATTTTGGCTATCCGCGAATCGCATCTGGAACTCTACACGACTGCATCGAGAGAGCGAGAGAGAGAAAGAAAGTGATGAGATAGAATGTGATGAAAGAGAAAGTGACGAAAGATCAAGTTGTGAGATCATGTTCACGTATTGAATAGCTTATTTACGTATTTACTTGCATTCACGAGCATTTCTGGAACGTATCCCTCGCGAATAACGAGAGAGAATACTGTATACACCCGGTGGCCATGAGTGTTCTACCCACCTTCGCCAGCCCCGCACTGACCCAGCTGATGGAGTATGGTCAGACAACCTCCACGACTGATAGGGAGGTCTTCATTCAGCAGTGGATTGACAAGGGGCTGTAAATGGTTCTAAACAAACTTCCTGGGTGGCGGTGCGTTTAGAGCAGCACCTGGTTTGACACTGGGAGGCGGCGATTTGAAATCCCAATCGTAAGGATCGACTAAGCCAATCATCATCATCATCCCTCCAGGGTCAATAAAACGTGTAATTCTTTGTTGAGAAGCCAACAGTGGTTGTCTTGAGGAGTGACTGCCTACCGTCATAGGAATGTGGAGTTTTCCACACCGCAGTGGTTGTTCATTCTGAAACTGTTGATTTTACTTCTGTTTTTGCCAAATACGATTTGTATACGCCAGCTTTTATTTGGCTCATTGTGTGTTAGCCAGCCAGCCCTTTATAGGTGATTTGTTGCCTACAATCATCATCTCTCCACTCGGTGAGTCATTATTAACGTCACAATTGCACGTGTGCTCTGTGCTTTGCCCGTTGTTGGGGATTTATTTTTCCGTTCTTCTTTGTGCGGCTTTAGCAGGCCTGCTCAAACAAGACGCTTTGTTTGCGGTTGTTGCTCAAAAGCGGCAGCGGTTATGAACGAGCAAAGCAGTACGTGTGTGGGTGGGCTTTAGATAATGGCAAATGCCTTGCACACTGTGCCAAGCTCACAAATAGACCTCACCTGGTAAACCGGAATGGTCAATGGGGACACAGGGACGTGTGCATGGCAAACCTTTGCCGAATGTTGAACGCATATTTGGCTCGTCTTTCATTGATTTCGTTTTTTGTTTCATCTTGTTTGATGAAAAAAAAATAGCTGACAAAACTAAAATAGATTGCTTTATTATCATTTTAAGCATTTGGGTCACTGTTTGTGGAACACATATTAAAGCTCCAATTTATAAAAAAAAATACATTAAAAATGCAGCATGGGGAGGGAGGAGGGTGCAGTGGCGATGCAATGGTGAGTGCACTGCACTTTGAACCTGTGTGGTGAATGATATCCCCCCTTTACCAACCCACAGTGACCAGCGTAGTGAAGTATGGTCAAACATATCCCCTATGACCGACATGGTGTGTGGTAAGGCCTTCATCTCGCCCTGGATTTACAAAGGGCTGTGATTTTTATCATCATTAGTATTACGATTTGCGTAACGCAATTTGGATTACAAAAGCATCTAAACACAAACCTGCTCTCTCTCAAGACACTTCAAATACATGTGAAGGCTGAGGTTTACCGGACGCGGAAGGCTGCAGAGATGTCCAGATGTGCTTCTTGAAGCATTCTTTAAAATCTCAATGTATGTGCAATGAATGTGAGAAAAAACCCGAGATCGAAAGCACTAACAGAACACGTGGCTTCCATGGCAACACGTTGCTGAATTACGTACAACGCATAAGAACAGTACATGCGTATAGCTTTAGAATTGCTAGCACACATTTGCGCGCAGTCACCTACGGTGTACAGCTTGGTTAGCACATTTGACACGTTGGTTTTTTTGACCAATATGATTTGTAATAGATGTTTGGTACAGATTGCGTGAGTAAAATGTGCGTCCTAAAACCCTCCTTCATCCAAAGCAGCCAGTTAATAAATAACCCTTCCAAATGATACTGCTTCAGCATTAGCACACAAACAGTATTTGGGGTACATTTAAAAAAAATCCTTATTTATTTCGGTAAGTGCACCCTGCATTCAGGCTTAGTCGAGTCTTATTTTGAGTCTACTCTCATGCTATCTGTCAGCGAGACTGCCGGTCACAATTGCAATTGTATCATTCATAATTTATTTGGAACTGCATTGTAATTTCAGCCCACAATGCTCCTGTCACACAGTTACAATTGCGTTCTTCATAATGCATTGCAGTCACAATGTAATTGCACTTTTAGCCAACAATGCTGCTGTATATGCAATGATAATTGGCCAAAGGTCTGCTTGTATGTTGAACTTCTTTCGCACCGTACGTAGTCGACCGTGCTAATCGGAGGTGCAGGGGAAAGACAACAAACTAAACACAAAAAGCAGCTCTAAAGAAATTAGTTTTCAATCTAGATGATTTTAAAGTGCATAGTTACGGTGGCTTCCTAATATCGGAAGGAAGAGTGGTCCGGACGGCCGCAGAAGCACATCTGAAAGCGCCGCGCGATGCAGTGACCATCTTCGTTCGATGCCTAGCCATAAGCTGCTGCTGCTGCTGCCGCGAGGATGACCAAAGTTCGTGTGATGGTTTACGTTCTTTGACGAGATCCGCCATGATGGTTATGATGGTTATAACGATGACGATTGTTCCTTGCAGAAACCCGATTGGCAGGACTGGGATTAAGGGCCGAGGGCTCCTGGGCAGGTGGGGCCCTAACCACGCTGCAGACCCCATCGTGACGAGGTGAGGAGAGCCCCCCCCCCCCACCCCCACATCTGCTCTGTGCCCTCCTCACTCGGACGCTGCATTTTTTTTTTATAAACAGAAGACCCAACACCCCACCCCTCCCCCAAAAAAATGTTGGTGCTCTTATAATTATCACAACAGGGGGTCTCTCCATGATGATGCAACAGTTGAATTCGGCTTCTAGAAATAGGATGGAACCTATTCGGTGATGTAGTGCGAGCTTCACGGCGCCAGGGTTTTGTGCCGTAATTCGCACATTTTAAAATTGCCCTCCTCGTGCTGCAGTGGCCGCTGTCGCGAGCCTCGCTGCGTTCCCGACGTAGCCGAGATCCCTGGGGGCTCCACCACGTGGGCGGAGGTGAAGGGACTCCCAACTCAGCTGGTGCACCACTATGGGGTGGCTTAATGGTGAAGGCGGCGGGAGCGTAATACAGAACAACAATGATTGATTTGCCGCACTGTTCCCCTCCGCTGCTTATCAGTCCCGCAGTTCTATAGCAGCCTGCTGTTGTGCATGGTGCTCATCCATCCAAGCACTATCCTGGCTGAAACGTGGTTAGCTTTATTGCGATCAAGTGCATTTCTAGGTGAGTTAAAACTATAAACTAAACGAGTTTTATTTGACCAGATAAGGTCCACCCAAGCTGTGTAGCTCTTCTTCAAAAGCGATCTGGCTGCCAAAAATGATAGCCCAGCAAAGTGGCTTGTCATGTGGAAATTCATAGCAGCCAAATAATCCAAATGCATGTTGATGCTCAATGTGGAGGGAAAAACCGGAGCACCCGGAGAAAAATCCACGTGACCACGGGGAGAACATGCAAACTCCAAATATACGGGCGTCAGGGTCGGGATCGAACCCACGACCTCTTGTATACCAGGCAAGGTAATTAACATCTCATAGCCACCGTAGCACCCTGGGCTATGGAAGAAGAGCGGTGTTATTGTTGCACCTGACGGCAATGACCATTGATAACGCTTCAAACTCGTGTTGCACAGCCCAGGATGCAGAGCCAAACATGCAACATCTACAAGATAAGAGATTAATTTTAGTTTTTTTCCATCGATTGGTCTTGTTTCCTAGGTGGAAGCGCGTCGGGGGCGTGGTGGAGAAGAAGGATGGGAAACCCATCCTGCAGTTCGTGGCCATCAAGCGCAAGGACAACAATGAGTGGGCAATTCCTGGGGTGAGCAGGCTGTGCGTGTCCCCCCGACACCGGATGGACCTCGCGGCACCTCATTGAGAGCTCCTCGTCAAACCAGCCGAGACGGAAGCGAAGGTTGCAATGAGAAACGACGAACTATTAAGTTGAACTCAACGCAGGAGAAAATAAACGTTTTCGGTCTATCGATTGTAGTCGACTACCTATTTGGTGGTCGATTGCTTGGTTTTCGCTTAGAATTGGTGGCCGCCTCGACATCCTGCCCTCCCGAAGGCGGGAGACCCCCAACAAGCCACGGCCAGCGTGACGCGGCTGATGATGTCTTGACAGCAAGGCCCGGGTTGGCCGCCCAAATGCTATGCGGGTTGATGGCCCTGCTTAGCGTCTGAGATCTGACAAAATCGGGGCGTGTTTGTGGCAGTTTTTGCCACGTGCTCACGTGTGTTTCTGTGTGTTTGTGCGTGCGCCACATGCTTTCCCAAGGGCATGGTGGATGCTGGGGAGAAGGTCTCTCTCACGTTGCGTCGAGAGTTTGGGGAGGAGGCCCTCAACTCCATGCAGCTCGGTGGTGCCGACAGGAAGCACCTCCAGGAGCAAATCAACAAGCTCTTCTCTGCCGGGGAGATGGTGAAGGGATAAGCACACTTTTCATTTTTTGAACGTTTCACTAAACAGTTGAGTGTGTGTGTGTGAGACACGTCCAAATGAGGTGGCCATCGGTTCAAAGGTCAGAACGTTAAGCTGGCACTGATGAGATGCCAGGTTCGAATCCAGGCAGCTGCCTGTGTTAATGGTCTTAGCCCGATCACTGCACAAATAAGCATCACATAATAATTTTTTTTTTACATAAACAAGGCGAAATTCCAGCTCTTGAGAATGAAAAAACATCAGTTTGAATGTCATGCGCCTCTTGGTGACAGGGCAGGTGGGAAAGTGTATACCCTCTGTTGTGTGCACCAGAGGTCACGTGAAGGTAACTCGAGAGGGTCGCTATGTGAGATCAGCAGGCCGTTCTCTAAGCTTAACGGGAATTTGCACTGCTCCGGGAGATTTCTGAATGGGCTCTTGAAACTTGACGCCATGTCCTACGGACCGCGACCACACGGGGCCCCACCATTTTAAAACGACGATAAAATAATATTTTAGCCGCACTCATCATGTACCGGAGGTGGGGGGGGGGGGAGATATCTTTTTAATTGCAGCGGGCTAAGCCACTTGTGTCACTGCAAGAGCGTCTTGTTGTGACAGTAATGACTGTGGTATGTGTTCATGTGTGGCCTGCGTGGCCTGCCGAAGATACTTTAAAGTCCTACGAGCAGCCCATATGTCCATCAGTCTCTCCCAGCTAGCCCGCAGTACTTTTATATTCTCATATAGAGCCACCTCTCTCCACCATTCTCTTGCCTGCTCTGTACTCTATATCACAATTCATCTCGATTTTTCGCGATGTTTCTGTTCCTCAATTCCTTTCCCCCCCTCCTCCTCTGTGTCTCCCCCACTTCCCCCCTCCCCATCTCCCCATTTCCCTTTCCCACCTCTCACTCTCGCTCGCCTCATTCCCACCTCTCCATTTTCCATCTCAACCTCTCCCACCTCTCCCTGATCCTCTCACCACCCACTGCTTGTCACGTCCCCTCGCTGTTACATTCCATTTTTCTCTCCGCTTCATCCCCTTTCATTCTCTCCCCGCCCCTCTCCTCTCCATCTTTTACTCCCTCCTCTAACTGCCTCCCTCACCACCCTCCTCTGTCTCCCTCCCTATCACATTTGTGTGGTGGGTGGTGGCGGCCAACCCGGGCGGTGACGTCAGAGCCACGTACGAACCCCGCTCAACTATGTGGGGTTTGGGTGACGTCATCGCGTGCAAATGCGCGTGATGACGAGTGTGCTTAGGGGCGTGGCATCCAGTCTGGATTCCACCCAGGTTAATCATCATCCACGCACTTTTAAATCTAGATTGCAAACTCAATTCTGTCCGAACTGCTTTTCTTTGTGTTTGTTGTATCATGGTTGGCTACGTGTACGGTGCCAAAGAAGTTAAACATACATTCGTACAGAACACCTGTTCCTAGTATAGTATGACTCAACCCTCGCTCAGGTAAAAGGTACCCCGCCCATGTATTAAAACAACAGACCTGACAGGTGCGCAAACCTTTGCTTTCTGCGTTACCCTGCTACCCTTTGCATTCAAGTGCGGGATAAGTCGTGCGTCTCATGTAAGGCTGGCTTTGTCTGACAGGTCTACAAGGGCTACGTGGATGACCCACGCAATACCGACAACGCCTGGATGGAGACCGTGGCTGTTACCTTCCACGACGACAACGGTACGACGGGCAAACACGAGGCATCTCCACGAGAGTGGAGACGCAGCGAAGAGATGCCAAGGGTAGTAAATCGGTCTCACCGAGGGTCGTGTAACGTACCCTCGTCGTCGTTCGGTACTTTTGAAGCCTATTTTGGCCGCTCACGATTGCCGGTGGCTTATTTTTTTGTCTATAAAAAAAAATTGTGGTGGTGGTGGTAAGTAAAAAAAAAAACAGGCTGCAAATTAATATAATAGAATATTTAAACCGGTCCAAGAGAGCCCTTCCCTCCACCGTAATACACTGAGGAACCCGGTGAAGTTGTGGTCAACCAATGCCTATGACTGACACAGTGTGGGTAGACCCTTTAAATAGCAGTCGATTGACAAGCACCTGCAAACTAATGGACCGTGGGTTTTTTCATGTATTTATCCAGATAGTGTTGAGTCTCACGGCTTTTTTAAACATGTATGTATGTTGAACGTCTTTCACACCGTGCGTAGCCAACCGTGCTAATCGAAGGTTGCAGGGGAAAGGACAACAAACTAATCACTAAAATCAGTCGTAAAGAAAGGAGGTTTTCGATCGAGATTTAAAAGTGCCGTAGCTCCCAGTGGCTTCCGAACTAAGGAGGCGCTCCTGCAATGATCGCACATTGGGATGTTAGGACGGTCCCTTTCCCTCGAGCCTTTTAAGATGCGGGAGAGAGGCAGAGTGCCCGGGGAAAACCAGCTCGTGCAGAGGGAAAAACACACGAAGGTGTAGGCAAGTGGGCTCACTCACCCCAGCACGCTTTGCTTCTGTCCCTCCTCACCATCTCGCGTCGCAGTTTTATTTAAGACCGTATTTTTACACTATGAGATCTCCTTTACCAGTGGCAAAATATAGTAATAGGTTTTTACCCTTTTAACTGGTACAAAACTGACACCTTTATACAAGGCATCATGTTTGCAATAACCTCAACACAAGAAGTCAAAATGCAAACAAAAAGAAACAACTCTGATGATGATAATGATATGCACTGTCTCGCTTGTATTGGCGAATGTTGCGTCTTTTATGCAATTTAGTTTGTTCCATTAACCTAAACACAACAGTAGAGTAGCGTCCTGTACATATGCAGCCCTTTGTCGATGAACGTCAGTATCTATGAACAATTGAACTGTTTTTAATTTTGCCAGGTAAGGCCCACCAAAGACCTCACCATGTATGAAGGCCCCCCCCACGCTGTGTGGGTTACGGGGTGCATGTGACCATACTGCAGCACGCTGGTCAGCGCAGATTGGTGAAATCCTGCGTATCCATGCGGGGGGACATCAGTGTATTTTGCCGCATTGCGATCTGCTGCCCGCAGCGTGGGCTCACCACATCGGCATATCGCGCGCGCGATTAAATGCCGTGAATAGTAGCGAACCGTTCGCCCCGCGCACGATTATTTACCCGTTGATCGCGAACTTGAGACTCGATCTCGGGTCTACGAATCGACGCTTCGTTGCCTGAAAAACCGGCCAAGCGCCGCCGCCCATCTCGTGCCGTTTTCCCAGGGGAGAACGTGGGCAGGCTGCCCTTCCAGGCCGGGGACGACGCTGTGGGCGTGAAGTGGGTGGACGCGCACTCGGCGATCAAGCTCTACGCCAGCCACACGCTCTTCCTGCAGAAGACGGCCAAGCTGAGGCACGCATACTGGTAGTGTGGCAGCGTGGTAGTGCGGCAGCGTGGTAGTGTGGCAGCGTGGTAGTGTGGCAGCGTGGTAGTGTGGCAGGGGTGCCGTACCATCTCCCACCCACCCACCACCCTCACCGCCTGTGCGTCACCGCCCGCTGGGGCTTGTGGTGGGGGAGGTGGGGGGCTTTCCTCGTAGAGGCTGTACACAACACTGCAGATTCTTTTCTTCCAACGAGCCCCCCCGCCCACCTGCCAGTCACAAAAAAACATCACCTGGGACTACACCTAAAATAGGCAAGGCTATTTCGGGTACCGTTGTGTATGTCGGGATGTGCATAGCTTCAAAGCAGTAAGAACCATTTGAGGTATTTTATTGTAAGAATTCAATGGTCACCATCTCCCTGCTCAAACAAGCATGGTGGGTGGTGGTGAGGGATACTCATGTTCAATGGGATCTCTGAGTCAGCAGTTCGAATTCGGCATTGTTGTGGTGGGAAGGAGGCGGGCAGCTTATCCATAGAACAAGGCTTGTGTTATTCTAGTCAGTGAGGAGTGGTGGGCGTAGTGGTTAGCTCACCGTGCTAACTTGGGTTCGATTCCCCGTCAGGCACGCCAAGCTTGGCTCGAATATCCCCGCCGGATTGTGCGTGGGCACAGCGGTTGTGCCAGTCCACTGCTGGATGAGGGCATCGTGGTATGGTTACTGGCCGTGGGGTTGTTATGTTAGTTTCACCGTACTTCACCATAATGCAGGGAGCATAGATGTGTGGGGACAACACAATTCCAACAATGCAACTTTGCTGCAATGCTCTTTGCTGCCCACATACCACAACCCCCCTAAGTTGACTTGGCCTTAAATTATTATTACCTGGTGCAGTGTGTAAGCATCAGCACTGGGTGGGGGGGGGGGGTGTTGTACGTGGTGCTCCACACACCACCTATCCGCTGTCGTCCTTTACGCTTAACGCAGGAGGTATCTTGGCAGTGTAAAAACCACGCGTGCAGCTTGCGCATATCTCCTGTACAACGGTGTGCTCGACTTTATTAGAATTGTATCGGCTGTGCATGTTGTGGGGCGAGCAGTCTTGGTTGATTTTCGCCGTAAAGGCATCAGAATAAACATAGCCTTTGCCCAGTCGTGCGTGAATACATTTTTTTTTGCGACTAATATACGTGCTCAAATACTATTATCCGAATGAAAGAGGCCCAGGCTGCATGGCAACCGAGGCCACATTTAATAGGTATCGTCCATGAGCACAAACCAGACATTTGCCTCGTCAAAACCACTGGCATAATTTGAGCAGTTTCCATACTCTTCGTGGCCGAGTAAGAGTGAATGTGCTGACGACTGCCTGCAAGTGAGTGGCGCTGTTAACAAATTCACTCATATTAGCGATTGTAAATTATTTGTCACTGCTCGGGCTTTGCTTTGCTACCCCTGAGGTGGGATAGATTTCTGCTCTGGCCCGTGGAAAAGTTTGTGTTTGGTTGTGACAAGTTGGGAATGCAGCAATGTTACCGAATACAGTCACCCAGAAATGTCTGTCCGTCACGCGCGTGACGTCACTCCACGAGGCCCACCCCCCCTCACGTGACGTCACTCCACATGAGGCCCACCCTCCCCCCTCATTAATATTCATGAGTGGGTGAAGTTTTACACGAACGCAGAGGAAGGTCGAGCTGAATTAAATAATTTATTACGCAAAGTCGCTTCAAACATGACGTTTCTTTACAGAAAGTGACGGTAAAAAATAAATCTACGCAGCACAGTGCTGCATCCGTGCGTGACGTCACTGCAAAAGAGCCCCCCCCCCCCCCCTTCATTAATATTCATGCCCCCGTGGAAATTTACACTCACGCACAAGAAGGTCGCGCACTCCACATGCCGCACCTCTCCCATTAATAATCATGAGCGGGTGACGTCACTCCACATGCTGCACCCCTCCACAAGAACTATGAGGGGGGGTGACGTCACTCCACATGGGGCAACCCCCCCCCCCTCATTAATAATCATGAGCTGAACAATTTTTCTATTGAATAGTTCAAATTTTCTGCAATATACAACGTCCTTGGAAGGGCAAAAAAGCTAGTGTCTACTATCGTTTTCTGTGGGTACCCCCTTCCCCCCTATACTTATTAGATGATAATTGTTTTGTATTTAATTGTAGCTGCCATACAGCTGTTTTTATATGCTGGTGACCGCAGAGAAAAAAAAGACTGGTACAAAAGGGAGCTGAAATACAGGCGATGAGATCCATGTATGTAAACCCCACTGATTTCTCACCGCCCTGACCTCGTGCGTGTGCGTTTTTGGTTGCAAGAGACGATTGCGAGTTGGCTCGTGTCAAGGTGGAACAATGACGTGGCCCCCTTCACCCGACATAACCCCCCGGTGGACGTTGTTTCGTGGGGGGCGGTCGCATCAAGGATCGTTGGCGCGTGAACGCGACAAAACCACGCCGGCTATCAACGTCGGACGTTGCAAAGGAAATCACACCGGCCACGTCGGACTGTATAGTGGTAGAGTCCCTAAATATTTAACAGTGTATTGATCTTGATTTTAAGCTTTTTTCGTGACTGCAGGAATCTATACTCTTTGGTTCTTTCGGTAAAGTCACGTGGGTAGAAATAAAACAAAATAAATCACGACGTTTCGGATGCAACACAAGCGCCCGTCTTCAGGTGAAAATCGCAATAGCCGCGATGTCTGCTGCCTTGTGGATTGAGGCGACCGGAGGCTTTGAACTAAAATACTTTGTTATTTTAGTGGCATATCTACAAATGTATGATCCCGTAGACGGTTTGCAGGACGGGACAAAATGACTTGAGGCCAGCCTCGATGGCTACAGTTGACCTTCCACCTCCAGCTAATCACATGACCCAATAGTCCACGAGGCTTATTACCTTTGATGTGAACAACCGAAAGAACCAAGAAGACTCTCACATTAACATAGCCACTTCCGTGCCCTCTAATCTCTCACATTAACATAGCCACTTCTGTACCCTCGTCGAGGAGGCCGCTCTCCTCCTATCTTACAGCCACATGCTAATTTCTCACATTAACATCACGAGCCCTGGCCACTTCTTTGACCCTTGGGCTACACCCATTTCAAACCTTTTAAAACAGTCTGCCTCAGCAGCAGACCATGCTTTCCCACCTGATGATGGACGCTTGTGTTGCGCCCGAAACGTCGTGAGAATTGTATTTTAGTATGTTTTATTTTTATTATTTTATTATTTCCCTTCTACGTGACTTTACCGAAAGAACCAAGAAGGTGAATCCCTGCAGTCACGAAAGCTTTAAATCGAAATTTAACCGTGTCTTGTTTATTGCCATTTGACAATCCTAATACTTAATAGTAGTAATTTATGCAGTCCATGTATTTCACCTTGTCTGTTTACACAGGCAGTATGCTTCTGATAATTAGATGTTAATAATTTACAAATGCCTATCAATAAAAATTCCTTAAATTAATTGTTCACAATTGAGCCAAGTTTTATTTGTTTGTCAAATAACCCGTCTCCTGAAAGGCTGAATATAAACTGAGAAATGGTACGGTACCCATTGCAAGCCTTGGTTAACATCGGTGTTGCTGTGAACCTGTATCTGTAATTATCTCATGATGACTTTCCCGAGCAGAGTACCGTACAACTTTGCTAGGTTCACCTATTTTTTTCCAGATGAACTGTTCTTGTTTTGCACGATTGAGAAAAACTGTAAGAGTCAAGTGGCCATGGGTTAGATCTATGCGCGTGAACTCCACTCGCACCAGACGTAGCCAATCACGCGCATCGGAGGTGCGGACCAGCTAAATACAAACAGCAGTTACATTGCACGGCTTGGATTTGCATCCGTCTCGAAAGACACACTGACCACTTGTAACGTGTGCAATGGGTCTGAAGGAAATGTGATATTCCAAGAAATAACCGAGATAGGACATGACATTTATTGTTACAAAACCACAATGCATTTTATAGCCACTTGTACCCAATGCAATCAACACTTGTATACACTCGCACTCACACGCCGAGCACATTTGCCACAAACACCATTGTACACCACACAATTCACGTTAAATTACAGTGGTTAATGCAAGGGGGGGGTGTTTATTTACATGAGCAGGTTCTTTCTCATAATGAAAGATTAAACACCGACGAAGCAATTATTGATAGTGAAGCTATTCGGAGCTTGAGTCGCCTTCCACCGAAACGCCTGCAATGCGGCCACGCAAGTGAAATATTGCGCTTTAAAAAAGCACACACACACGCACACACGTGTGTCGTTTCTATGACCTGCGCTGTTTTTTTAATTCTGTTACGACGGCTTTTTGTTGTTGTCATTTCTCAGATTTGACTCATCAGATATATAAAAAAATTAAGCAGGATTTTTTTCATTTGAATAGTGCTTGCATGGGTGACCACTATAACAGGCTTTTTAGTTGAACACGAAGTAGGCTTTTGCAACCAATATCATCCATAATGTAGGTTATTTGGGTTAGATCGCGTAAATATAAGTGTGTAGGTACAAGAACAATCGGCATGCATAATGTGCATCCAATAATGTACGTTGACAACCATATGAATAACCCAACCGGCAATGGATAACCCATTGTAATGTATATGCATTAATTAATCCCCCCCCTTTTAACTTGAAAGGATCACAAGTGACGTCATCACATCCGCCTGATGAAGCTAGTTATAATTATAGGCGAAACGTCGTACCCAGATTGTAAATTTTCTCTCCAACACACAACCAGTGTGCTGTACTAGTGACGAATTGGCCACGTTCTGTTTACGTGACAACCCTTACTAGTTGGCTGTGTCGGGTGCTGGCGGATTTAACGACACATTTATATATTTACGCGATCTAGCCCAAAAAACCTACATTATGTAAAATAAGCTTTAAATAGGCTGCTGTAGAGGAGGGGGGGGGGGGGGGGGCAGAGGGGGTAATGTTGTTGGCAGCAGAGGGCTTTGCATCACAATCTATTTCATGCCTATGCTCCCAGTCTTCCTGCACAAACCATCCTGGTGAAAAATGATCGAATAGCCACCACGCCAGGAGCCCCCGCCAAAATGTTTCATCTTGGGCACTGCTCCACGCAAGCGCTTCATCATCATCGTCGTCATCATCGGTGCGACGAGTGCGGCTGCAGTGCAAAACCAGTGGATGCTGGTCACATGATCTGCAGCGTGCGGCCAGAATGTTGATTAACAAGTCACGTGACCCGCAGAGCGAGACGCCGCCGTCGAGATGGTGCAGTGGCGCGGCACCGCCGTGTCATCGGCGCCCGCTGCCCGCCCCGTTCTCTTGCTGTGCCTGGCACTCCCCTCGAACGATTGTTCCACCACCTCCGGCTCCCTAAGTCTCCACCCGGAGCACGCCGCGGAGGAGGCGGTAGGCGGACAGGCCCTGCGTGTCACGCGGCGGCAGGCAGGGGCCGCGCTCGCTGCCGTACGCCATGGGCAGGCGAAGCACCCACAGGCCGTCCGTGGGCAGCGTCACCTCGCGCTGCTCTGGAACGAAGATCGGGCACGGCGCCGAGCCGGGCTGCACCTGACGGGCGCGGGGGGAGGACACGCGGTGGAATAAGTTGCACAGCGCAGCAGCACTGGCCATTTTGGCTTTTCTCCCGATGTAAAAATTTTAATTGCGATGGTGGCGACACGAATGAATGAGTGCCCGCGTTATGGTGTGCGCATGTGTGCGTGTATGTATGTTTGTTGAACTTCCTTCGCACCGTACGTAGCCAACCTTGGTACTCGAAGGTTCAGGGAAGGACAAACCAAACACAAAAAGCAGCTCTAAAGAGATGAGTTATGTATGTAGAACTTTTTTCACACCGCACATGAGTACATGTGCGAGCATGAATGGCCGCACGAGTGTTGTAGAGCCGTACTTGATCCAACTCGCACAACGTGGGAGTCGATGCGTGCGCAAAGTTGCACCACGTGTCGGTGTGAGCGGACGCACTCGCACGCTGGGCACGATGCCTGCAAGAGTGCGTGTAAGCACACGGACGGGCGGTCGCACAGTACCTGCGGTGCGAGCAGCAGGCGCACGGACGCGTCGGGCACCACGACGTAGAGGCGCATGAGCTGAGCGAGCGCCGGCTTGGGCCCGCGGCTCTGCCCCGAGGCGGCCACGTAGAGCGGCATGTCGGCCGCGAGCGCGCGGCTCGCAAAGTCGCGGTAGCCGCTGCCCGGCGCCACCTTCATCACTTTCTCCGGCGCAGAGCACATGAAGCGCCGGCCCCGCGAGTCCTCGTACTCGTAGCCGACGTACGCCCTGGCGGAAAGCGGCGACGGGCAAGCGAGTCGCGATTCCGCCACAACTTAGGGTACACGTGTGAATGTCGAACTGCTTTTTGCACCGCACGTAGCCAACCGTGCCAATTGGGAGGCGCAGGAATTAATAACAATAATGATTAATAATTATAATTAGACTGCGTGATTCGTACGGCCTCGCACTGTCTCGGCTCAACTCCACTTTGCGTCCGACATCTGACAAGCTCGGGTGCTTTCTGGGTGATTTGGTGGAGCGGGCTAGTAGGGATCGCTTTGATTGAGAGCGGGAGTGTAGCAGCTAGCGCACTGCGCTACAAACCCGGCGACCCGAGTTCGATTTCCGTTCACGGCCATCACCAGTGACAATTATCTGAACTGGTCCTGCGCCTCCCCTAGGTGGACTCAGCCTCAAATGAGTACCTGGTGCGGTGTGTAAACATCACCACTGGGGAGATAAAGGCGGCTGGGCGTGGTGTTGGCCACGCACCCCCTCGTGCGCCGTGCCGGCCTTCATAGGTGCTCGCTAACAGCACTTGCCCCAACAGTCTGTTCAGGCTATACGGGGGATCTTTGTCTTTTTTTTGTCACACTGGGGCTCAGCCATCAGCCCCACATTCCCGTGCTGAGACCAAAGGGAGGTTCCACACCTGGCCGTGTTGTCCCCGCGTCTCCAGGTACGCGTTGGGGCAAACCCCCTCCAGGACTCCCCCTCCGCACGCTCCGCTCCCTCCGTGCGGATCGCTGGCCACGCCTCCTCCTCCTCTCCTGCAGCACGAATAACGAGGGGATGCACAAAACTATGAACAACTATTTTTATTTCACCATGTAAGGGCCCGCTGCTGAGCGACGTAGCTCTTTTTCAGAAGCGACCTGGCCACAAATGATAGCTGAACCAAGTGGCTTTTCGCGTGGTAATTTACAGCAGCCAAAAACTCTAAACACGTGATTTTTATTCTACATGTGGAGGGGACACAACCGGAGGACGTGGAAGAAAAATATATGCAACCACGGGGAGAGAACATGCAGACTCCAAATATACAGGTGTCAAGGTCGTGATCGAATCCATGACCTCCTGCATACCAGGCGAGGTAGTTAACATCTTGGCGCAGCAGCAAAGATGCCGATCGGAAAGTTACAGCGTCTTTTCCCCTCCTCAAACGAGCGTTGCGCAGGGCTCAACGGGGGCCTTACCTGGTGATAGAAAACACCATTCACAACTCAGTTGACTTGCCTTCGTTGGAGCGCCGCGTGCTGGACAGCGGGACGTCCCACGGCATCAGGAAGTGGGTCCCCGGCACGAACCCCGGCATGTCGGCGAGCCCCTGCGAGGGGACGTAGGCCTTGGCGGGTCCCAGCCGCACCAGCGACCACGACGAGAAGGAGGGCAGCCGCCCCGCCACCACCCCTCCCAGGTGCACCATTCCCCCCAGCGGCTGCTGCTGCTGCTGCTGCTGTCGGTCCTGGTCATCCTGAAGCGGGGACTTCTCCTCCGGGTTGGCTGCCGGCCTCTCTCCGGGCTCGAGCTCGCCACCCTCGTCGTGGGGCGTCGGTCCGGACTGGGAGCGGGCGCGGCAGGGGCGAGCGTCGTTCTGGTCCCCGTGCGTGGCCGGCGCCGGCTGGGAGTGCGCGTGCGCCGGTTGGGAGGTGGCGGCGGGTGGCTGGGAGTGAACGTGGCCCAGCCCGGGCTGCGACCGCGCCGGGCCGGCCGCGGCGGCGGTGCCGGCCTGCGGCTCGGCGAGCAGCCCCGCGGGCGTGCCGGCCGCCTGGCCCAGGCCGTGCGGGAGGTCCGGGCTGCACTCGGTGCCACCCGTGGCTTCGGGGGCGTCTTTGTAGAGGGCGTCCTCTGTGGGCACGGGAGCTGGGGCCACGCTGGCATCGAGCGAGTTCTTGCGGCTGACTCCCGCGTCGCGCTCGAACGTGGGGAAGATGAAGTGTTCCAGCTTGCCGCAGTATTTGTCCTCCATCATCTGCACGGGGTGATTCATGAGCACAGTGACCTGATCCAAACTGGCGCCACGCCTTTTATACGTTTGTCGATTAAAGCAACATTTTTTTTTTTTACCTCACACCTAGAACTTTTCCAAAATGGAAAACATTGTTTTTTAACGTGATCGTTTTTTGTGTGCAAGTTTCAACCATCAAACTCACCACACCTGAGAATCTGGCTGCATAAAAAGCTGCTAAAGTTCATCACACGGGATTCTCAGCACATCTGGAATGCTCCACGCCCTACGTACCAGCGATGTAGCTAGCGAGTGGATTTTTCTCCGGGTCCTCCTGTTTTTCCCCTCCACATTTCAAAACATGGCATTTGCAGTGTTTGGCTGCTATAAATGTCCACATGATGAGCCACTTCGTTGAGCTATTATTTGTGGCCACGTCGATTCTGCAAACGAGCTGTGGGCCTTACCTGGTCAAATAAAAAATAGTTTAATTGTACACTGGGACAGAGGGGTCAAGGTGCCAGAAAGGGGGCCCCCATTTCACTCCTTGCAACACTGCTCACGTGAACCACACTACGCCACTGACACCACGCCACTGACACCACGCCACTGACACTACGCCGCCGCTGCTGCCATTCGAACGTATTTGCGCTACACCTGCGGGGTGGTGGTGGTGCGTCAAAATCAGTTCTCGTGATGTCGAAGCGGTCGGAAGACCAAACACGAAGCTTCACAATCCATTTCCGAGTAGCAGCACCCAGCCCTGTTGGCGATTGGCTGGCTCCGTGTTTTGACTCGTGCCCGAGACAACTTTGATTTGTGCCCAAGACTTGGTCGGACGGTTAGGTTAGGGTTAGAAAAATACGATCACTGACCTTTCACGAACAATTCTGCCTCTATTTGAAAAACTCGTCCTTAAATAGCATTTGCAAGTCTCCGTAGACTGAAGAAACCTTCGAATCGCGTCGAACTTGGCGACAGGGTCAATTAAAGACTGAAAAAACAGACTTGCCGATTAAAGTTTTGCTGTTTTGTGGGGACCGGTGAGTTATGCTGCACCGGTGTATCGCCAATACAGCCACATATCGAAAGCGAAGAACCTTCAGCCGGCCCACTCCACACCCAACACGTGCCTCGAAGAAGGTGAAGTTGGCAGCGCGCAGGGTGAAGGGGTCCTCGCGAGTGCCCTGGTGCGAGCCGCAGTTGCAGGTGCTGGTGGCGCGGGAACGGCTGCAATGGGGGACAACTGGTGGCACTTGGTCTGGGTCTGCAAGTTCTCCTGAACGCACACACATACATACACACATGCATATACACACACATGCATATACACACACATGCATATACATAAGCATATGCATATACATACATACATACAAACAAAGATAAAGACAAAGATCCCCCATATAGCCTTAACAGACTGTAGGGACAAGTGCTGTTAGCGAGCACCTATGAAGGCCGGAACGGTACACGAGGGGGTGGGTGGCCAGCACCACGCCCGACCGCCTTTGTCTCCCCAGTGGCGATGTTTACACACCGCACCAGGTACTCATTTGAGGCTGAGTCGACCTATGTGAGGCCCGGGACTGGTTCAGATAATCGTCACTGGTGTTGGCCGTGAGCGGGAATCGAACCCGTGTCGCCGGGTTCATAGCGCAGCGTGCTAACCGCTACGCTACCACTCCCCACATACATACATACACACATATACACACGTACATATACATACATACACATATACATACACACATGCATATACATATATATACATACATAGAGTAATAGCGCTGGCTGCTGACTGAAAGTGGTAACTACAGTGTGCGGTAGTAAGCGCGTCAGCAGGCGACAGGATACACGGGGGGGAAGACAACGAGGGCAGAAACAAAAGCGGCTCAGCTTGGTGCTGGCCACCCACGCCGTCGTGTGCTGTGCCAAGCCTTTGTAGGTGCTCGCTAACAGCACTTGCCCCTACAGTCAGTTACAGGCTATACAGGGGATCTTTGTGTGCGTGCGCGTGTCACCGCGTGTGTGCGAGTCCTGGCCGTTACCCGCTTTGGGCAGCAGGTGGTACTTGTGGATGCAGTGCTGGTCCGTGAGGCTTCTCTCCTCGCACAGCTGGTGGCCGGCCTGCCAGAAGCTGTGGCAGTCCTCCTGCAGCTTGAGGAGGTATGCCTGGTAGGCCGGCCCACGAGCATGCTGCCTGCAAAGAACAGACACACAGATGACAACACGCACCTCATGTTTGAACCCTCGAAAAGCGTTTTCAATATCTATTTGTGTAGAAAATAAAATTATTTTTATTTTTACCAGGTAAGACCTACTCAGCCATGTAATAATTTTTCCGAAGGGAACTGGCATTCATAAATGATAGCTCAACCAAGTGGGTTATCGCGTCGAAATTTACAGCAGCCAAATAACCCTCTAAAACGCGTGATGTTTCTTCTAAATGTGGAGAGAAAAATCGGAGGACCTGGAGAAAAATTCACATGATCACGGGGAGAACACGCAAACCCCAAATATACAGCAGGCGCCAGGGTGGGGATCGAACCCATGCCCACCTGCATACCAGGCGAGGTAGTTAACATCTCCTAGCCATCATGATGATGATGACAGAGAGACACGCAAACCCCAAATATACAGCAGGCGGCAGGTTCGGGATCGAACCCATGACCACCTGCGTACCAGGTGAGGTAGTTAACATCTCCTAGCCACCGTGATGATGATGACAGAGAGACACGCAGACTCTAAATATACAGCAGGCGTCGGGTAGGGATCGAACCCATGACCACCTGCATACCAGGTGAGGTAGTTAACACCTCGACCTCCGTGGCATTGCCAGGCTCTTTGTAGCATTCCACAGTGGCGGAGGTGCACTACGTCGGATCCGCTGTGCAACTTCCTGGCGCGCGCACCTGTAGATGGAGAGTGCGTGCGCGAGCTGACTCCGGTGGTAGGCGCTCGTGTAGTGGTGCGGCAGGCCCGCCTGGTACGCGCTGTGCGCCAGCGGCAGCGCCTTCTGGCAGCGGCTCTCGGAGAAGCGCGTGTCGGCGTCCAGGAAGCCCTCCAAGCACTTCAGCTGACTCTGAACCTGTGCCGGTGTTGCCACGGGGGGGGGGGGGGGGGGGACGTTAGCACGTGGGACCGCGGCCTGCAGTGGAAGAGAGCGGCTATTCTGTGTGTGGGAAAACCTCTTTCCCTTACCAGGGGTTGAATATGACTTTAAAATGCCTTTGAGCAAGGAGACATTTAACTTCTGTCGTTATTGTTGCGTGTGGTGGATACGAGACGGGAGTGCTTAATAACGTCACGAAGCGGTCCTGAAGCATGCGGCTCCGTAGCTGCGCGTTGCCGACCCGTTCACCCCATCCATAGCATGGGCCGCCCTCGAACTACAATACGCCCGTGAGTCTAGCGGAACGAGGGGCAGACCTTGGCATGGACGCTGACTGGATCAGCTGGCGTCTTCCCATCCACACCGTCGTCGCCGGCGCCGCCGTCCTCCTCCTCGTCGTCCTCATCCTCGTCGTCGTCCTCTCCGTCCGAGACCTCGGCGACGTCCCCCCACCCGCCGCTCGCCGTGCCGAGCAGCGCGCCGCTCAGCCGCGCGGCCACCGCGGCCCAGTTGGCGAGCGTGGGCAGCTCGAAGTGCGCGGGCTGCGGGTTGCGGCCGACGCTGTCGTCAAATCCGCGGCGCGCGAACACCAGCTCGGCGTGCTGCCACACAAACTCGCGCAGCGTGGGGTCGGCCGGGAGGGAGCCGCTCGACTGGGACTCCAGCGGCGGGGGCGGGGCAGGGGGCAGCGCCGACGGCCGCGCAGAACGCCGCATCAGCTGGTACCTGTGAAGGGCGCGGGGCCGTGCGCCGGGGTGTCAGCGTTACACTTGGTAAAGCAGGGATTCCGGCACCGACATTTTACCGAGTGCCAAGGCCACCCTCGCCACCGATGCCATCTTCATCACGACCACCATTACCGTCGCCGCCATTAGCACCACACCACCACATTCTAAGGACACCGCCGCTACTCCTATCCCTACCACCGGGATTATCATCATCACCACTCTTACCAAGAAACCACCACCAATGTCATCACGAATGTCATTAGCTGCTTGGGCATGCGGTGGCTGGGCATGCGGGATACATGACCCAACCAACGCAGTCATGCCTGCCGGAGGAGCTCACTGATTGAACAATGTTAAAATCTTTCAAGGATATGTGAGCTCCTCACACAATCCATTCTGGTTAAACCCGGGATGGATCATAGGCAGGCCAGCCTGAATGTTTCAAAACGGCATAGATGTTCCTTTAAAGGAGTCCCCGTTTCGCAAGCGTAGAGAAGGGTGGGCATAGCTCTGGCTGCAAAGACCTGGAGCATTTTATGGAGCGTTAAGCCAGGCAGTTTCCACGCAACGTTACGCAGCTGATGAAAAGACAATGCCACTCGAGACCTCACTGCCAAACCGGAGCCGGTCATAAGCACACTGCCCAGGTATGGATACTTCTCCACTCTCTTCGCAACTGCCCCACCACCAATGGGGGAGTGGAGGGTGGTGGAGTATGATATGAAATACCCAAATACCACACCACCACCACGACCGTCGCAGCACCACACCTTCGTGGTCCGGCGTTTTGGCCATCGCCCTCCTTGAGGCTGCAGTTGCTGCGGAGGCAGCGGATGAGCGAGCCGACGGGGTCGTCGGGCGGCTCGGCCATCACGTACACGAAGGCCTGGTTGGCCGGCACGGTGAAGAGGCAGTTCACGCTCTGGTTGGTGAGCAAGCGGCTCTTGCGGAACACGTGGTAGATCTGATCCTCGAGCGCGTGCTGCAGGCGCCGCTTGGGCGAGTGGCGCTTGAGTTTGGTTGCAGCGCCGGCGGCGGCGGCGGCGGCGGCGGGGGAGTCGCCCTCGCGCCACAGCCCGGCATCCGAGGCTCGGAGCGCCCCGTTGAGCTGGAAGATGAAGAGGAGGCGCGGAGGGCAGGGCCGGCAGTTCAGCTGCCACTCCTTGCCCACCGGGCAGTCCTGAGTGTGGGAGAGCGGGAGGCGACATTGAGACCCCGCGTGTGGTCTTTGTTGCACTGCAGTAGGAATTCTTGTTTCTTAAGAGTTAAGGAAAAAAATGATTTGCCACGTAGCGCTCGGTTGTTTATGGACCGAAACCGTGGACGTCACTCCGCAGGCCTATCAGGGACTCCTGTAATGTTCATAGATCATATCATAAGATTTGCCATTTAAATCTTAAATTTTTTAAATAGCTGTACGTTGTTGTTTTTTGTTGATCAACATTTCGTTTCTTTATCGTTAAAACGCAAAAAATTGACAACGAGACGTAAGAGTGTAAGAACCAGGCCAGACAATGAAGTGAGGGACCCACGATTGCATGCCGTGGTGCGTGACCCCGTGCCCCCCGTGACACGGCGTTGCCGTCCCCGTACCTGCAGCAGCGCCCTGAGCTGCGGCTGCAGCTTCTGCCGGAGCTGGTCGAGGCCACGGAAGAGGCGGTCGTAGGTGATGTCGAAGGTGCAGGTCGGGTGCTGCAGCAGCACCACGTGGCTCACCGACAGCACGAACAGCATGGCCAGGCAATGCTGCTTCTCGGCGCGGCGCCAAGCCGCGTGCGTCTCGGCGTGCCGGTCCCCGGCGGTGACGCTGGCGCGCAGGAGCCCGGCGGGGCTGGCGGACGACACCACGAGGTAGACGGTGCGGTTCTCCCGGTCGTAGTGCGCCTCCACCGGCGCGGCGACGCCGGCGGCGGCGGCGGAGTCGTGCCACGCGGGGAAGACGAGGCGGTCGGTGAGGATGTTGACGATTGTGTGGCCGTAGTTGGTGCGCGAGGGGGAGGCGAGGCCGCACACCCCGATGACGCAAATCTCGTCGCCGGCATCGTCGGCGCCCGCCGCGGCGAGCAGAGACTCGAGCGACGGGGGATGCATCGTGAGCTGTGGCGACATCGATTCGCTCGCGTGATCCTCACTGTTTACAATGCTGCAGACAGCCCCACGTTGCCTGAAATAAGACCATAGAACCGGAAGCAAAATGTAATAAGCATCATGGTAAAAACACCGAGGTTCTCCATCCAGGGAAGTCCCATTTGTCTAGTTTTTATCACGTACAAAATAGAAACGTATACATGCACGTCATTTCTCATATAAATATTTTACATCTACAGCCCTTTGGAAATCCGCCACTGGATGAGGGCCACCCCACGCGGCGTGGTTCGTGTGGATTGTTTGACCTTAAATTCGACCACGATGGTCGATGCAGGATGAATGGGAACATAGACGTGGCAGCACAGTACTGTACAACGTGGTGTCTTCTTCCACATTCCCGTGTGGAATTTCCACCGGCCACTTTGGGCTCAGGGGCCTCCAAGAGACGAGGCACCGCCCCCCAAATACTTGCAGGGAGACATTTGACTTTTGGGGCCGTCCATAAATGACGCCACGCGTTTTTGGACGATTTTTGACCCCCCCCCCCCCTTGTCACACCGCGTCACAAAAAGTCAGACCCCCCCCCCTCAAATATGACGTCACAAAGCTCTGCCCCCCCCCCCAAAAAACATATTTCCATTTTGAAAATAAAACATGCTTCAAATCGCTTTAAACTATTGTCATTGTAGTGCGTATTTAATGTGGCGCTGCACTCTGATGTTGTAGGAGAAAACATTTATTAAAAGTATATTTAATTAAGTAGAACGTGTTGTCTATATTTATTTAAAGTTGCGCATTTTGATGTGACGTCATATTTCTCAACCCCCCCCCCCCCCCCATCGTCACACATCGTCACAAATGTCTGACCCCCCCCCCCCCCTAAGTCCGTGACGTCATTTATGGACGGCCACTTTGTAATTACAATGACGAGTTACTGAACATGAATGAATGGTACAAAAATAAATTAAGACTCAGCAAGGTTATCGTGGACAAAGCACAGTATTGCTATTATTACCCTATTACACTTCCACCGATGACACTATGCTTATGACAATGTACCAATAACACAATAAATATCCCGTTGTTTTCGATCCACTGCTGGATGAAAGCCGCACCACGCCGTGTCGGTGGTGGCGGTTTTCTGACCCGATTTCACGGGTTGGTGCCAGGTATAATAAAGGGGGCCCAGGACCGGTCCAGATATCATTCGCCACTGATGTTAGCCGTGAACAGGAGTGATTGAAGAACTCCGTAGAGCCAGGTTCGTAACCAACCGGCTGACACATCCAGGACCCAGGATTTAATCTCAATCTATCCTGGCTAAAGCACAACGTGAGGATGGCTAATCTAGATTTGAAGTTTTCCTGATTGCAGTGATCCATACTCTTTGGTTCTTTCGGTAAAGTCACGTAGGTCGAATTTAAATTACGTTAAATTAATTCACGACGTTTCGATTGCAACACAAGCAATCATCATCAGGTGGTGCTGATGATGATTGCTTGTGTTGCGATCGGAACGTCTTGATTGATTTTATTTTATTTCTCTACCTACGTGACTTTACCGAAAGAACCAAAGTTTGTGTGAGTATGACTCTCCATCACCACCACCATCATCATCCACTGCTGGATGAATTCCTCCCAATCCACCTCAGCGCCGGCACACACGACGATTTCACTGCTCCATCTCCTGGTTATCCTGCCCCCTACAAAGCTGCTGCTGCTGTTCTCGCTAACGTTGGTGGTGTGAATGTCCACGTTCTCATGGCGGGACCGAGTACATCCTTAGGCGTGGGGGGGGGGTGCTGGTAACGACGCCGGGTTAAGGCCGCTGCACTTCGCACGCCGCGGATTCAACTGCGCAGAGTTCACATTCACACTGTACGAGGCGCACTGTACCACCCCACCCGTAGTGCGATCATTGCACTGTACAGGCGATACAGTGCAACCATCGCACTGTACCCCCACCCACAGCGCGATAGCTGCACTGTACGCGTAGTACAGTGCACTGTACGCGTAGTACAGTGCACTGCACGCGTAGTACAGTGCGGCGCGATAGTTGCACTGCACGCGTAGTACAGTGCACTGTACGCGTAATACAGTGCGGCTATCGCACTGTAGCCACACCGCGATAGTTGCACTATACGCGTAGTACAGTGCACTGTACGCGTAATACAGTGCGGCGCGGAACTGTACGCAAATACAGTACAGCGGCGCACTGTACCCTTGCGCACTGTATGCGAGTACAGTGCAACTATCGCGCTGCACTGTACATAGTGTATGGCTGCGGTGCTTTGCGCCAACTCACCGCCTTTAACGAGGAGGCTGATGATGATGATATCGATGATGATATCAATGATGATGTTATCGATGATGCTGATATCGACGCAGGCGATGACAGAGGGAGGCTTCGCGATGGGAATTTCCACGTTCGGGCCGCCGACCCGCCGTGGGTGACGTCACGGGGTCTCGGTAACATGACGTCACGGGGTCTCGGTAACATGACGTCACGGGGTTTCGGTGACATGACGTCACGGGGTCTCGGTGACATGACGTCACGGGAACTCGGTTGGATAATCGTGTCAACCCATGTGGTTTAACCTCGGTGGTATTCTTCTTGTACGCAGAAAATGTGAGTTTCCAGGTCCATACGGCGTACAGCCCGTTTCAATATGGGCAAAACTAAATGTCGATTTAAAGCTTTCGTGACTGCAGGGATTGATCTTCTTGGTTATTTCGGTAAAGTCACGTAGAAGGGAAATAATAAAATAAAGAAAACATAATACAAATTAAACAATAAAATAATAAAAATAAACCAATAAAATAATAAAACATAATAAAATAATAAAATATAATAAAATATAATAAAACAATAAAATAATACATAAGATTAAAAACATTCTCACGTTTCGTCCACAACGCAAGCAGCCGTCCTCAGGTGAAGAAACAGAGCTGTCGGAAACGTTAGAATTTTTATTTTATTGGTTTATTTATATTATTTTATTATTTCCCTTCTACGTGACTTTACCGAAAGAACCAAGAAGATGAAAACTGAATGTGTTTCTCTGCTTGTGATGGGACTTTGTAGGATAAACGTTGAGATTCATAAGGGGGCACGTGGTGACCGATAAGGTCTGAGTTGGTCTGTAACAAGGTAGGGCACTGGTAAGGGTTTGGCAGCTATGAAGTTGCATGTTCAGGAATTAAAAATGTCACTACAGGGTGGCGTGGATGTCTTGTGACCCCACAATTTTGAGACCCGTAACATGTTTTTTTTTACCATTTGCATATTCATTTATGTTTTAAGTAAACCCAAGTGTGGAAGCTACACACAATCTGCACATCATGATAATGCAATTGTCAATAAATAACAATGGAACAACACTACACGTACAGCACTGTGTTTACAAGTGAAAATTAATTAAACTCACAAGGTGTAAGCCAAAAAAAACGTTTATTTGTTACAAGCATTAAAGACTGTTTTGGTAATGAGCTGCAGCGGATACCCGATTGTTAAATGACCACGAAAGCGTCTGCTAACCAGCAACAGAGCACTTTTTCTTCGTGCAAAAACAACAAAAAACCCACCCACAGTAACCAGGTGTCCACAAACTGCTGACAGCCGTCATGATATTTAGTACAAAGGTAAAAATTCTAAGTTTTGCCCACCAGTAGTTCGACCTAATAAGACTTAATCGAGGGGATCGATATCTTGGGATGCACGATGGGCGTTGGGGGAAGACCATAAGAACTAAAATAATGGTAATCACAAGACAATATTACACTACTTTACCCGTAAATCTTCCGACAAACTGCAGTAAAAACACCGTTCACGCAGTTGGCGACGAAGCTTTTATCAGCGACTCCCCAAGTGTGTGGGGGGAGGGGGGTGCATTGTTTAAATGATCGATTGAAACCCTCTCCCATTCATTTACATTTTCGAATATTCTAAAATAATGAAGGGCCCCACGTCATGTCTGCCATGCGGATTGCTTGATGGTAACATCACCACGCTGTCCAATGCGGGTTGATCGTGCGGATGGGGGGGGGGGGGTCCCTGGACCCACGCTCGATGTTAACACCTGGAGAGAATTTAACACGTCGGCTTTCGCGACCAAAATTATTCAAAAAAACGTTCACCTGGAGAGAAATTGACCTAAATGCCCAGTTCACCGAGCAGCGTGACCACGAGTGACATAAACCCGATGGGTTTAGGTCGCCGACAGGAAAGGGACCCAGACTTCAAGGTGGATAAACAAAAAAGTTATCATTTTACAGACCTGGCCATATGATACACGATTAAAATTAGTAGAAAAAAAGTAGTATGGCTTGACCGGTGTTAGTACAAATGCATTCAACACAATACCAATAAAACCATATAGAAGTGTACATAACATAGACAACATCAGAAATGGAAAGTAAACATTCGTTGTATTAGTAGACAAAAATGCAACCATTTATGTAGCTACATCCCACTGGAATTGTTCCCATTCCAGCGTCGAGCATGAACACTCCATTCAGTGGAGTGGTAAAATGTTACTTCATTAAAACTCTCACTTTGTGCTGTAGCACCTTGACGAATAGGCCACGACCAAGACGTTGCCGTCGGGAGAGGTTTTGCCTGCATCTATGGCAGCGATTCTCCACAGAACCCACACGCCTAAAGCTCTGCTCGTTTTCACAGCGCTCGGACGCTGGCGTGCAGCAAGTGGCCGATGCGATCGTGGTCCACGTGTCTTACACTGGAGGGGGCTGTAGATTGACACGATGTGCAAAGCGGAGCGTACGCAGCGTATGGGACGAAGAAAATGGACAGCAGCATTCCAGAACAACAAAAAGCATTGTATGGCTGTCCATCAACACGAATAGCCCAACCATGAAAAATAAAATTATCTGCCGCTGCTGCTGCTGGAAATTCCACATTTCCATGACGAGGGCCAGTGTCCACGTTTAGCAAAGACACTGAACGCAAGAGAGAACTCGTCCGCGGTGGATGTCGAAAGAGTTTCAAAACTTGGCGTCGTCCGTCCGTGCGCGTGCGCGCGGCGGCACCGATGTCCTGCCGGCGCCGGGAACCGCGGCGCAAGGTCCCCTACTGCATGAGGTCTTCAAAGCTGTTGTTGGGGGAATACTTCCCGGCAGGCGAGGGGCTGCGATCCGGGTGCAGCGACTGTGAAGTGGCCAAGACTCCGTTAAAGCAAGGCGACCATCTGCCGGGCACCGGTGATCTTGCACAACATGGATTGGCTTATTGGCTAATCTCCAAACCCATTTCCCCCCATCAGTAAACCATGTAAAAAAGAGACGAGGTAGAGATGCTGAAAAGTCTAAAGGGTGCAATTCACAAGTTGGTGGATGATCATTTAAGCTTGGTGGATCACACCGTCTGCACGGAAATATCATCATGGCCTCCCTCGCATTAAACACTCAACAGAAGGTGTTTCGTAAACATTCCCAGGCAGATTTATTCTACGAATAACATAACATTCCCACGAAATAATACATTTCAAATTAATGTGCATTTCAAATGAACAAGTTCTTTTCACAACGGTTGGCTATAACCAAGCCGTGAAACCCACCATTTGAATTCACAAATAACACAAAGATGTGCAGAGTAAATTTATCGTGCAATTTGTGCGAACGAGAACTCTTTTTGACGCTCTATTACCCTCCCCACCCTCCCAGTCCCTGATTGACACATTTAGATAAGCCCCTCCCCCCTCCCCTTAACTAGTATTTAAGATAATTGGTTGTTTACCCTTCTATCTGGCACAATACCTGCAGTCACAATGCAAACAAAAAACACAACTCTGATAATGTATGCACTGTCCTTGAAGTTAATTGGTCCACACCCGAGACAGCTTTCCTTAGAGCCTAGTCTCACATGGGTTGGACCAGATGACGCATTATGACTGCAGGTATTGTGGTCTATGCGAACATGACTCGTTGTAAAAAAAGGTGTCCGTTTTGTTGCCAGATAGAAGGGTAAAAAAACAATTATATTTTTTACTGGCAAATGAGGTTCCAATGGTAGTATTTAAGATCTCGTCGTTTGCATTTCTTTCCACTTGATACAGTAAATTTAGCTGTGACGGTCCCACCTGAAGACGGAGACTTGTGTTGCCTCCGAAACGTCGTGATTTATTTTTATTTCATTATTTTTTACCTACGTGACTTTACCGAAAAAACCTAAGAGTATGAATCCTCGCAGTCACAAAAGCTTCAAATCTAGAATTACCTTAAACTTCTTGCGCAAAGCTTGTGTCATGACCGGGGTGAGGCCTGTTCCGGTCTCCCGGTTCTCCTTGTCATACATGGGGGTGCCTCCAGGGCTCCTGCACGTCAAACACAGCGAATAGTACGTCTCGTACACAAAGACCTATGGACGTATGTATGTAGAGAACTTCTTTCGCACCGTACATATCCAACCGTGCTAATCGGAGGTGTGGGGAAGGACCACAAAAACTGCAAATTTGTATGCAGCAAATGTGAAGGAAATATCTCACCTGATTATGTCCACGCGTTTGAGAAGTCCCCGTAAGTTGTACGGCGTTTTGGTTGGCGTTTGCCTACAACGTGAAGAAATAGTACGTGGCGTTAAAAATACATATCATGATAAACAAAGACTTGACTATTATCGACTAACAACAGAGCAGACTCAAGCCCAGTTGAAGGCAATTTTGTTGAACCAGTTGAGAACTCGAGGACAGATGGTCTCATTAGCAAGTAACTTGGGTCACCACAATGATAATAACATAAACACATGCGTACAACGATGACAGAAATCAGAGGGGAAAAAATAACCAAATAGAAGTTAGAGCAAGACTGGCCGTAAAGAAACCAAAAAACACTGAACGTAAAAAACATTTTAAAATATATGTGTTGGTAAAGGTTATCATGAGCAAAAGCTTTAAAAACACAGATCCCTCCCCAATCAGCACAACTGTGGTGGTCTATGACAGATCGCTGAGGCAATTAGGACTGAACACGAAAGTTGAATTGCACAAGAGCGGGGCATTATTTTTTGTCCATCCTGATCGGGGGACGAGCGCGGAAACATTTCACGACAAAGAGCAGCCTGCCGGTGCGAGCACGAGGACAGAGCGTGAAGGAGGCGCGCACGCGAGGACCCGGCTCCTCACCGGCAGCTCCTTGGGGAGAGCATCGATTGCGCGCACGACTCGGACACGGTGCGGCGCAGGCTCACAGCCTGCAGGTCCCTCACGGTGACGAGCGCCTTCTTCCACTCGCTCGCATCCTACCCCGGGGAGGTGGGGAGGGCAACAGAGCACGCGCAGAACCTCGGTGTGCGCCGGTGCCACGATTCGCGCCCTCGCGTGAGCCCGCGAGCCCACGACGTTTCATCGAGGGACGACTACTGTGTGCGTTATCAGAATCGGAATATTTATTTGTACTGGGAGGGAATCCGATGAACTATAAAGTTCTTTGTTTCCACAGATGTCCAGTATCTTGGTGTGGTCTGGGACTGTATTTTTTGTTGTTTTTTTGCTCCCTTGCCCAATCTTGATAAAAACAAGTTAAAATATGTATTTATATTAAGTGACTCGCTCAACATTCTCTATTTTGTACTCCTATCGTGTTTTTGTTTCGTTTGCTGTTGTAACTTTGCTGACCCCGCCCATACTGGACATCTGTGAAAAAGAGCTTTACAGCTCATCGGATTACCTCCCCCTGCTGCAGCCTAAATAAAGATTCCGATTCTGGAGTTGTCACAATGACCGGGGTTCACCAATCAGGGTCTCAATTCCTTCCCCTTTTCTTCCACTGGTGCATGCTCATTCAACAGCGGTGGGAAACATATCTAGGATCTGCAGTGGCGCCAATCGGGATAATCTACGGTGGCATGAATTTGTCAAGGGGAGCCGACACAAGGTGACAGGGCGTTCGTCTTTTATTGCTTCCCCCAGTCCACACTCACCCCCAGCCTTCTCGATCCGTTTCCTGCCAATTCTCCCCCTTTTTAAATCCTTTATATTAAGTTCGCTTGCTTGCTTGCGTGCTTGCTTGCTTTGCTTGCTTACGACCGTGCAAATATTTCGGTCGTTTTTTAACCCACTTTCCGGGATCCAATCGAGCTCACATTTTGCACACAGACTCGTTGTGCGAGACAAGTAATGTTCGTGAAAATTTTTTTCCAAAATTTTACACTGTTTAGGGAAAACAAATTAAATATTTAATTACCAATTGCTTAATACTGGCAGACAATCATCTGACCCATAGGTGGCAGCCATCTCAAGCCAGAGGACGAGAGGACTCTAGCCGCCACGCATATAAAGGATTTATAGTGAAAAACTTTGTTTTTACGGGTTATACTTATTCCCACCCGTTCTCTCATATCTTCTCACCTGCTCCTCCCCCTTCCCCCGTCACCGTCCCACTCCCCCTTCCTTTTGGTGAGAATCCTTCCCCTGACATCCCTGACAAATGTATACAAATTAGTGAAATACAGCCCTTGGTTAATCCACGGCTGGACGAGGGACTCCCCACGTGTCGTCAGCCGTGGGGGTTATTTAAGGACACGTCATCACGCTGGCCGGTATGGGTTGATGAAGGCAGGCAGCATAGATGTGAGAGCATAGAAACACAGTACTGTACAATGGACTTTGCTGCACTGACCTCTAGTCATGCACAACGCCTATTGGACTATAAAAAAAATTAACCCGTAAAAACAAAGTTTTTCACTATAAATCCTTTATATGCGCGTGGCATCGGTTTAATTTTATTATTCATTTCTGTTTTTCTTGAGTAAGAGTTTCATTTTTATCACATTGGTATTTTAAATAAAATATGACATTTTTTTTTTCCTAAAAAGTGCATTGTCACGCACAACGAGTCTGTGTGCAAAATGTCAGCTCGATTGGATCACGGGAAGTGGGTTAAAAAAACGACCGAAAGATTTGCACGGTCCTAAGCAAGCAAGCGAACTTAATATAAAGGATTTAAAAAAACGACAATTCATAGGAATTGAAAAGGATTCGTTGTTATGCACACAGTGCGACACGTACATCGTGAGCATCAGAATACATTAAAATGGTTTGTATCAGAGCATTGCCACATGACCGATGTGCTTACACTTCTGTTCCACGCTGTGAAAGCGAATAACAATTTAAGTGGCAATCACATCGTGGCTTAAAAATGGAACGATACATGGAAGTGACAATTCGGACGCGGTTCAATTACAATGTTGAACAACACCCGAGTTGTGAACGCCGCCTCTTACCCGCTTCTCATCCTCAACCTCGGTGGAGGTTTTGCGCAGCTTCACCCGCAGAAGATCCTTCACGGTTACCACCGGAGTGCAGTCCCTCTGGGTTGGCTGCTACGCAGACAAACGCGCACGCAAGAGGATTTCAATTTTAAAAAATCGCGGCACATGCTCCACGAACACAACGATGGACTTCTGTTAAGAGTGCAGCGGTGGTGGCGTGGTGGTGTGTGCACACCAAGCTATGAATTCAGTGACCCCCCCCCCCCCCCGAGCTCAATTCCCAGCGATATCCAGCTACGATTCACAACAGTGACGAGCGATATCCTAACCAGTCCTGGCACCCCCTCTTTACCAACCCAGGTCTGCACCCCCCATTAGCACGGTGGCCTACGCACGGTGCGAAAGAAGTTCAACATACAGCACGTAAGCGGACTAAGCGTGGTGAAGCAAGATCGAACGACCCCTGTGAATGACACTTTGGTTGACAGTTTCCCAGTAAGAACAAAGACATAATTACGTTTGAAGACAGGTAAATAATAAACACATCTATGCTGTTATTGTGCACGCAAATGCACCGAAGCATATTAACATAACTCTGACAATGCACTGAAGCATATTACGTGAACATGTACGCAGCTTTAGATGTCGCCAGAAAGTCAATGACATCGCTGGGGAGCTGTGACATCACAACACATGGCAGAAACTGATTTGAATGCTTATTTTTCTGTTGTACTAGGAGCACTTAGAATTACTTTGCATTCCACGTCCCCCCTGGAAAACAATAAAAAAAGTCCGCCTCATTCTGTTCTCTCCTTGTTATCAACTTCACGATAGAAAATTACGAGTTAAAATTGTTCTATCCATACATGCATGCATAGAGCATACGACACAATAACATACATACACAGCATGCCACTCAGACACTTTTCAACTTCTTATGGGTCAGTGTTCATGCCAAAAGCTCACCAAAGTCAGACATAAGTTTGTGTTGGTTTAGTATTACCGGTTGTGGCTCAGGGAGGTTCAGACTGAGGCACCTTTAGGATACTAAGCAATAATGTTATGTCTGGGGCTCAGAGAACTATTTTCAAAAGTGGCATAGTAGAAGCATAATTTTGCACGATCTGTTGCAGGAAATTAGGAAAAGGCAATTGTGCATCCAGGCACCTGGTTCAGAGTATGGATGGATCCTTTCAGTGTATTTAATTTAACCAGGCGAGACCTCAATGAACCAACGTAGTCTCATATGCAAGTGACCGGGGGGGGGGGGGGGGGGGGGGGGGAAACCACAAAAAAAAATTACAGAAGCAAACCAAACTACAACGCTAAAGCAAACAGAAAAATGGCACGCGTGTACTTGAGTGGTGCACACACTGCAATGGCTAGACAGCGAGGCTCGCAAGGTCCTCTTCCCCCCCCCCCCCCCCCCCCCATGGAACGTGCCTGCACGGCCGCCTTCCTCTTCAGCACGAGCTTGGGCTTAGCTGAAGGGGGTGGAGGCAGCGGAGGTGGAGGAGGAGGCGGAGGAGGAGGAGGCGGCGGAGGAGGAACTTGCGGAGGCGGAAAGGATGAGACGAGGGGTGGAACAGCGCAGACAGGCGGCGGGCACGGCACGCACACGCCTGAGCACTTGGGGCACAGGCCCTCGCAGGCCTGGTGCGTACCATCCTGCGGGTCAGGGCCAGTTAGCTCTCGACAGACTTGATGGCTACCCACCAAACTCCACTCACTAGACTTGATGAACATTCAATGTCATTGAAGGCACCACAATGTAAATACTGTCACAAACTGCGAGTCAAATTAAATATCAGACACCACATTCTCCCATCGTTGCAAGTTCTCATCTTAAAAAATTATGCCCCTTGACTGCTTACGTTTCTGTTACAAGTCAATGCTAACGACAAGTGCTGAGATTTTTTTGGTTCTGTTCAAATAGAGAATTGGAAATTACACTTTATATGAACGTGCAATACAATTCGAGACGTCATGCACATCATACGACATATATACCAATGGCTGCACAATTCACCCAACTTTATGCATAATTAATTTTGTCTTCAAACTACACGCGTTGTGTTGCTTAAACGGCAGAGGGGGGGCCTGCAGTAAACTCAAGAATCTCCTGGGCCACTCCAATTATGAATGCAAAACAAGCATATACATGCAATTTATCCTGGAAAGCCTCACTAAGCGAAGACTTTTATTGAGATGTTCGGTGAAGGAGTGCTATATCTACGGAAACCTTTTTTTCATCATTATGGAGTATCTGTTTTTACGTGGGTAGAGAAGGAATATCTCACAAAGGGCCCGCTGTACTTCACACCTCTTGGCCACCTTCACAGCCTCACCTCTAACGTGCTGGGTTAAAGAAGTGCGCCCCACTCCACACCCAGCGTTGTTTCAAATAATAACGGACAGCACTCTGCGAGTCCACTTCTTGCTTATACACCGGCATGCGTGCGTGTCTTATCGGGAGCAGGAGTGTCGTGCTTAGCAGACTGCGCTACGAACCCGCGAACCCAGCTAACAAAGTTCGATTCCCGCTCATGGCCAACACCAGTGACGATTATATCAACCAGTCATGGTCGACTCAAATTAGTACCTGGTGCGGTGTGTAAACATCGCCACTGAAGAGACAAAGGCGGCCGGGCGTGGTGTTGGTCACTCACCCCCTCGTGTGCCGTGCCTGCCTTCATAGGTGCTACTCGCTAACAGCACTTGCCCCAACAGTCTAGTTAAGGTGACATGGAGGAATCTTTGTGTCGTATGCAGCAGGGCTCACTCGAGTGATGCGCTTGAGAGCCTGCAGTTCGGCCTCCAGGCTCGTCAGGCGCCGCAGCGTCTGCTGAAAATCCCTCCGGTGGGCGAACTCTGGCGTGAGCCAGTCTTTGGCCAGCACCACTCCCTGTCATGCACGGAGGGCACAACGCAGGTGTTCAGCTCCCCGATTGACGTCGACACGACATCACTCGCACGCAAAGACACGACAAACAGTCTCCCTGCACCGACCACTGTAAAAAACACCCCTACACCTGTCAAACATGTAAAATAACAAACGTGAAACGCGCTGTTTGCCATTACAGCAACACGGATATGGATGGCCAACAGTTCTTATTCTTTCGTACAGCAACAAGATGCATGGGGAGTGGGTATTTGATCATACTTTGGTAAAGGCTAGCCAGTGTGGGTTGGTAAAAGGCAGAACGTGTAGATGCAAGCGCGTAGAACAATTGATTTTGGAATTTTGTTGTACTGCCCTCAACGTACCCCTGAAGCTTATGTAAATTAAAACTATTTAGTATTTCACGGGTAAGGCCCACTGAGCTACATAGCTATTTTCAGCAACGACCTGGCCACAGATGATCACTCAACAAAGTGGCTTATCACGTGGAAATTGATCGCAGCCAAATACCCTAAAAACGCACGCTGCTAAAATGTAGAGGGAAAAACCAGGACACTGAGAAAAATCCACACGAACACGGGAAGAGCATGCAAACCCCAAATATACAGGCGTCAGGGTTGGGATCGAACCCACGACCCCCCCGTATACCAGGCGAGGTAGTTTACATCTCATCACCAAGGCATCTGTCCGATGCAAGGTGGTCATCCAGCTCCGCACTACCCATTCTCACCCCTGCTCATGCCTTTGAGATCCAACAATATATGGGGCACATGCCACGTTATGTGCTCCGGGTCTTCCGCTTCATCCCTCCGCCACTTTAGAATCGACATCACGCGTTCGGAGTTATTTGGCCACTATACATATTCACGTGATAAGCCACTTCGTCGAGCAATCATTTTTGGCAAGTTCGCTTCTGAAAAAGAGCTACATAGCTCAGGTGGCACTTAGCTGGTAAAAGAAAGATACACATCAAATGCTGCTTATTCACCTGCAAGATGCCACAAACGAACATCCTTGATAGAGCAAAAGCCTGAAATGAACGCACCTCATATAAACAGTTCTGATATAAGCAACACATGCTTACATTACACTGATAAAAGCACATGACTTCGGATTTAAATCCCAGTCTTTTCACGATGGCGATGTATCCTTAACCACATGTACATTTTCTCCCTTCTCCAGCACAGCGAAGCGTTCCTTTCCCACATTCTGAGAGCAGTTTGTGGCTTCACGTCTGCCCAGCGCCCTATTCGTTGTGCAAATAAATAGTACGCGCCCCGCTCAATCACCTGCAAGATGCCGCTGCTGCACCAGTGGTAGACGTGAGACACGGTGCCCACCAGCGAGCGGACGGCACGAGACAGCCCTGCCACCGCGCCTCCCTGGCACGGCTCTCCCTCCACATGGGCCCTGCCGTCACACTCTAGGGACCTGGGGCCAGTGCCACGCGCAAGGCAAACACAATCAGGAAATATTATTTACACCCCTGTCAATCATCGTGTTTCTCAGTGTGGATTTGTGAACACACTTTGTAAACAGTACATAAAATAGTACGCCTTTTCAATGCGCTGTTCATATTGTAACAAGCGTTTATACCAATGTTACCATCGTGGGGACGATGGCTTAACTGCATAAAAAAACGATCTGCACAGATGCATACGAACAAGAGAAGTATTATAATCAAACAGGAGGAATTAACGGTGCAACGCATCTCATCTGTTAAATATCTACAGGTAATAGGATCGTCACCGATTGATCCTGGCTGCAGACATTGTTAAGTCACAAATAATAATGAAGATAAGAGAGCAGTTTCACCGTATTATGCATACCGTGGTGACAAATAAAGGACTTAAGTCGTTGTAGGCAGTTTGAGCAGCTTTGGATAAGAATTATGAGCCTACCCATACCCGAGCATGGAGTGCATTCGCTTGTTCATCTCTTCTGCGCATTCGTCCTCGCTGCTGCGCTTGGACATGACATGACATAACAGAATGATCCGCACCAGGCGGGTCGCGGCGTTTATGTGCGCGGTGGGACGGAGTTGTCAAAAATAAATTAATTATTTACGATTTATCTGGCTGTCGCCTGATGATGCTCGTTGTAACTGCTGGCAAAACGTCGCACTCGCATGGTAAACGTTGTGGTTGTTGTTTACTCTCCAACACACCGGTGTGCTGTACTAGCAACAAATTGGCCACGTTCTGTTTCGGTGACAAACCTCACTAATTGGCCGTTTCGGCTGGTGACGGGTTTCACGACACATTTACATTCCGCGCGATCCAACCCCCCAAAGAAAACCTCTCTCCATGACGGGAAAAAACAATGAATGAGAAACAAAACAAAAACGTGCACTAATAGGGTTTTTCCCCTTTTTCTAGCAACAAAACTGACACCTTTTGCAAGGAATCATGTTTACATTAACCACAATACTTGCAGTCAAATGCAAACAAAAAACTATACTCTGATAATTTATGCATTGTCCTTGAAACTGATTGGTCCACACCAGAGACAGCTTTCTTTAGAGCCTAGTCTCGTATGGTGTTCGACCAGATGACACCAAAAGGCGCACACAGTTCAAAGACAACGCACCATCAGAGTAATGAGAGCTCGGGGTGAGCAGCTACATCATGGGACCTCCTTTGCCAGTACCAAAATATACTAATAGGGTTTTTCCCCTTTTTTATGGCAACAAAACGGACACCTTTTGCAAGGAATCATGTTTACATTAACCACAATACTTGCAGTCAAATGCAAACAAAAAACAATACTCTGATAATTTATGCATTGTCCTTGAAACTGATTGGTCCACACCAGAGACAGCTTTCTTTAGAGCCTAGTCTCGTATTGGTGTTCGACCAGATGACGCCAAAATGCGCACAGTTCATAGACAACGCACTACCAGAGTAATGAGAGCTCGGGGTGAGCAGCTACATCATGGGACCTCCTTTGCCAGTACCAACATATACTAATAGGGGTTTTCTCCTTTTTCTGGCGACAAAACTGACACCTTTTTACAAGGAATCATGTTTACATTAACCACAATACTTGCAGTCAAATGCAAACAAAAATACGTGTACCTTAGCACCAGAAACGTGTCCCAGTACGAATGAGGCTGCCCCCGTTACCTGATGGCCGGGGTCTCACGTGGCCGCCTGGTCGTGGGTCGTCCCAGCGGCCTCCCGCGGGCGTGCTCGGCCTTCCACCGCCGCCTTCTGCTTTTAGACATCTTCTCTCGCCTAGGACGAGCAGAGGAAGAGAGGAGGAGGAGGGGGGCATTTGTAGCAGTGCAGTTGTGAGGAAGGGGGGGGGGGAGAGCATTCTTAATACAGTACTGCGTTACCATTGAATGTAAAGAACACAGTTTTCTTTGAATTGCCAGGTTGTGATTGGATTCATTGAGACGATGCAGTTGCAAGTATGCACCCTCCCCCCGTTGTGTCTTTCCACGGATGGCTACGTACGGTGCGAAAGAAGTTCAACATACAAAGTCACACAGCACGCAGTGACACAACACAGTGCTACACAAAACACAGTGACACATAACACACAATGCTCCACAACACAACACAGCACACAGTGCTACACAACACAACACACAGTGCTCCACAACACAACACACAGTGACACACAACACACAGTAACACACAATGCTCCACAACACAACACACAGTGCTACACAACACAACACACAGTGCTACACAACACAACACACAGTGCTACACAACACAACACACAGTGCTACACAAAACAGTGCTAAACACAACACAGTGACACACAAAAACAGTGCTACACAACACACAGTGCTACACAAAACACAATGACACACAATGCTACACAACACACAGTGCTACACAAAACACAGTGACACACAACACAGTGCTACACAAAACACACAATGCTACACAACACACAGTGACACACAGCACACAATGCTACACAACACACAGTGACACACAACACAACACACAGTGCTACACAACACAAAACAGTGACACACAAGGCTCTCACCACTGTACGCACCACGCCTCTGGCTGCCTCGATTCAAACTGCGCCTTTAAAAGTCGCCCCCAACCAACCAACCAAGGACCCCCCCCCCTCGCCGCTGTAGCCAATGAGCGGTCGCCTTTCATTCGCTGCCCCTCCCCCCGCCCTGCGATCGCTCTCTTCTCCGCCAATCGACGTCGCCCTTACGTGCGACGACCAACCGTCCGGGTAACACCCCCCCCCCCCCAGTAAGAGCTTCTAGCCAATCAACGAGCCGCTTACATCGCGCGCGGCTGGGCCGCTCCTAAGAGAGAGAGAGGGGGGTGAGTAGTGGGCGGATCCCCCCTTCCCTCCCCCCCCAAAAAACCCATTTCGCGCTTTCCCATTGGCGCAGCGCTGAAGGGGCGTGACTCAGCTTCCGGGGCTCGTCCAATGGGCGAGCGGCTTACGTCGCGCGCGGCCAGATGCCGATTAGCCCCGCTCGACCAATGGGAGTCGCGCTTACATCGCAAGAAGCCTCGCGCTGATTACACGCAGGAATGTAAACTATTCAACATGGCCGCCGCGATGGCCAGCCGAGGCAGTGGTAAGGCGCAAATAAATTTATTGTTTGGTTAAGTGCAGTTAAATTTTAGAGATTTGTGCGCGAAAGTGGGTGGGGAAGCCTTGGACGCAAGTAAAAAATATCGGAAAAATAGTTGTCATTCTCGTGTACGCGTTACTTGGGTGCAAAACCGAGGCAGGGCTGAGCGATAAATGGCGACTAGGCCGAGAGGCAGCGTCGCCTCAGACGCCGTTGACAGCTGGCGCGGGGTGGGCGTGGCATAGACGCGAAATTAACATAATTTATGCGGCGCGGGGGTGGCGTGGCATAGACGCGAATTAACATAATTTATGCGGCGCGGGGTGGGCGTGGCATAGACGCTAATTAACATAATTTATGCGGCGCGGGGTGGGCGTGGCATAGACACGAATTAACATAATTTATGCGGCGCGGGGGTGGGCGTGGCATAGACGCGAATTAACATAATTTATGCGGCGCGGCGGCTGTTGGGTTTATTATGTTAATTATAAAGAAGGCGTGGTCTGAGCCGCGCATAAATCTAACCCTTAAATGAACAATCTATGCACCACTGGTTGCGTAAATGATGATGAACTTGCCTTGCTGCACGTGAATGCGCGGAGCGTGTGGCATCGGGTGGTCGGCGATTCGGTGTATCTCTGTCATTGTTTTTTTGTTCAGTTAATTTTATTGTTTGAATAAGCGATGGGGGTATTTTTAAAATAAAAAAAAAATTGCAAACGTGTTCAGGATTGTAGTAGAAGTGTGCGTGCAGAAAAAGCCGTGTTATACGACCAATATTACAATTATACTTGAAATTGCAATCATTTACTCGAGTTAAAATAAATATTCCCTCTCTCGAGCTCGCTCTGGTGGACACCCTGAAGGCCTGCAGTGGCGTGCCAAGAGACATTGCAGGGCTACAGATTTCGCTTGCAATCTGTTTCCAATGAGTGCATTGATGCCCCAGCGAACAGACCGTAATTCAGTCACAGCTCCAGTCGTAAAGAAGCTACGGACGGTGAACACACGTGTGCATGGCGGGGTGCTAACGCCAGTGGCTCCCCACGGGTTTTGCGATGTTCGCAATCCGTCCGCGTGTCGCTCCGTTTGCGATACTTTTGTCCTCATTCTGTTCTGATTGGGCTCCCACTCCTTCGTTGTTGGTCTTACCTTCAACCTTACATGTGCAGAGGTCGCTGGCCAATCGGAAAGGACAACGGGACCAGTAGCCACATCCTTGGATGTTTGTTGTGTGTGTCAGGTGCTGTGGATAATTTTCGCGTTGTCGACCTGGTAAAAAATGAACCTTGCTGATTTTGATAACGAATATCAGAATATCCCAAAGAGTGTGGGGGCAAGTTCGGAGATTACAAAAAAATGTGAGGCCCTTGAAATAATGCAGAGTACTTTTGTTTCATAAGTATGTGCTGATGTGATTAGTAGAAAAATAATATTGCATATTTTCAGACTTGGATATCCAGTAATATATATTTTTAATCAAAAAGAATTTAAAATAGACCATTTGGCATAATCATGCCATTTGGGTCTGCGAATTTTATCACGAAGTAATGTTTCCAGTCGTCACGTGCCTGTACTTTTTTTGCGAACGTGAAGGAATTATTCTCTTGAACTCCGTGCTGTATTAACCGCTGCAGGGGTCACTGAATTCTAATTTGTTTCAAAAATACAAGAAGGTGACAAACGCAAGAGCTGTGCTCATGCCCTTTCTAGCGTATGCACTAACAGACAGGCATGTGTGACGTTGACAACGGTGTAAGAAATAATGAAAACAAGTTAACCGGTTTATTTTGTTGTTCTCGTTGCAGATCTGGATAATTGGTCATCATCGCGACTTCACGACGCCTTCCTGCAATTCCTCCCTGACAAAGCACCTCCCATTAATTTACAATTATGCCATAATCACATAAAATAAACGTTACAATTTTACTTATATATCTTGAGGAGGTTTAAATGCAATGTTGTAGCAGCTTCTCATGTTTCGAGAAAATATTGCAATCGTCCGTTAATTTTACCATAATTTTCTTTTTTAAGTGCGGCTGTTTTGAATGATCAACTTTTCCAATGGGAATGGCATTTTAATGGCTTACTATAAGCATTCTATTGTTTCATGACAAGTGTGTGGTACATAAAGAGGAGAGATCTTTGGTGGGGTCACATAGGAACCACATTCAAGGGTACAATTCATTTTAATAAAACAAAAACATTGTAGTAAGTATCCGTTAGGATTGACGTTTTCCTTATCTCTCTGATGGGTTCTCAGAGGTTGCCCTGGATGTTGTTTGCCGTGACGTCCAAAGTTGTTGCTGCACGTGTCGGGAGATTCTCTGCAGGCAACCGAGTTTGAGTTCATGAAGAAGTTCCCAGCACGAAGAGAGCAAAAATGACAAACATGCTGAACAACACGCGGCACAACCCTGAAACGCTTCAGAGAGCGCAACTGTGACACCTATGTTACTTGTCATTGGGCCGAAAGTCAGATTCTTTAACAGGAGATTTCACAGTGTATTTCGTATCATCATTACAACACTGTCACTTTTTCGACGGAAGCTCAGCGTCCCCCCACTGTCCTTTTTATATTGTGCTACTGTGTGCTCTGCGAAGTAGTGCAATGTGAAAAGGGCATTGGGGAGTCGCGCCTTTCGCCTGGACTCATCCACTGCTGCCTTGGTCGTGTGGCAACTTGCAAGCCCCTGCTGGAAGCTCTGACACCATTGCACTACTGTACGCAATGGTGAGCAGTGCAATTGTATTGTCAAAGCTTCCGTCGGTGAGCCCATGTGAGATTCCATTGGAAGCTATCATCGCTCGCCTTGGTCGATCCACTGCTGGATGAAGGCCTTCTGCAGCTATCACCATCCTTCACGATCCTGCCATGCAACAATCTTCTTGACATGTGCGCACGAGCTGATGTCATTAACCCAATCTCGGATGATGCTTTCTTGGACACATTCCTCTCCTTGGCGATCACTCGCGTTATTTTTGACCGTCTGCCATCATGCCTTCATGGTCAACGCGCTTTTACCATGCCCTCCCTGAAAGCTAAACTTTTACATAATGTTTTGCACAGCTTCGCTGTGTTTGTGGGCATCTCTTATACTATTTCTGATTAGTAGGCCATAATCCTGTTGATTAGACTCAATAGTCAAAATGAGGCAAATTTTGTGTAAACGAAAGCTTTCGGATAACTGGCCTAGAAGGCACGATGGTTGATTGATGAAGACCCTACCCTACTGATTGTTAATATATCAGAGTAGCTGTTTCATATTTTCCATGGTGATAATGGTATTGTACAAAGACGAGCATATATCATGATGACGTGCATAATTATTGCCACCGGTAAGGCAAATTTGATCTGTTATAAAATGCAGAGAAAACCTAATGAGGTGGAGAGAATGAAACCACGGTAAAAGTAGTCTATAATACTCCCATACAATGCGAACATCTTGTCGAGCATGTGAGTATTTGATCCCGTATTAAAACTTGTAAAAGGCATCGCAATTGCAGTTCTGAGTGATTATTTTCTCATCCCTTGCACGAAGGCAGACAACTCGCACACGTCGGCTTTGTTACAATATCAGCTGCCATGTCACCAAGTGTGACATCTGTGCCAGGCTAGGTGTAATAGCGAAAGTTTACTGGATGGTGATGGGACAGGCCTATCGTCAGATAACCCAGGCCTTTAAGTGGTACAAAATATGTATTACCGAAGCTATCAACAGAAGGGATTAACTGCACGTGTGGAAAATGTTATGCTGGGCAAACAGGACGAATGATCAGCACGAGATTAAAAGAACAGAAATATTAAATACTCCGAAATACAACTGTTAGCAATAGTAGAACACGCGTGCCAACAAGGACACTCAATTGATTTTGATAATGTTGAAGTTCTGTGCAAAACTAGCTACTACTGGCCAAGACTGATTAGATAATCTATCAAAATTTTAAGAAAATAAATTTTTAACCGTTCAAATAGCTACCGCCTTAGTGCTGCGTGGAAGCGAATCATCAAATAATACATAATTTAAATGCATACCTATTAAGGGCACCATATTTCATTGGCATGTCTGTTTACTTGACAACCCTTACTAGTTGGCGACACATTCATATATTTACGCGATCTAACCCAAAAAAAACTCTTATGGGTGATAATAGTGATTGTGATGACAGTGGAGATAATAGTGATGCAAGAGGAAATCGTGACGAAGAAATTGGTGACAGTGGAGGTTGTGATCGAGGATCATAGTTTTGATAGAGATCAATATATTGATAGACGGTGACGATTGCTATATGATTATTGGAATGGCAATGATAGTGATGGTGGTAATAGTGATGCAAGAGGAAAGAGTGATAAGTGACAATATTGATGGTGGTGAAAGATGTGATGGTGTTGGTGTACTACGAACCAGGTGACCTGCTGATCTTAAAGGTGCATTTAAAAATTTGATACTCTGATTGATGCTCCTGATGTTGTGGAGTGACTCATGCAGCCAGCTATGGCTGCAGGGTTTGGTGGTACATGTTGTTTATGTCGTTTATTGTGAAAATTCGGTCAGTTTCTATGATCACTGTTACATTGCTTTTATGGCTTTATTTTGGTGATTTCGAAAAGTTTTTTGGTTTAGCCATAGTTTGTTTGTTGTAGTACGGAGTTAGACTGATGGCCTTAATCTAAGTTGTCTTGTGCTTGTTGTTTGACTTGCATCCCACTGGGATTTTTGTACACAGCGTTGGTGTACGGTGCTTTTTTCTGGAATTTTTGCTGTTTTTTCCCCCCTGGATTTTCTGTTTGTCACATAGTCACATAGTCACTTTAAGATGTTTTCTTGTTCATGTTATTGGTTTTTGTTTGTTGCGGTTGCACCCGATTCAAGAGCCGAATGGCTCACACACGGCTATACCTAATAAATTTACTTTAACTTGAACCTGAGTTCGATTTCCACTCACAGCCATCACCAATGTGCCGTGCCGGCCTTTATAGGTGCCCGCTAACACTTTTCCCACCAAATTGTTTTGGTTATACGGGGAATATTTGTTTGTATTATAGTTGGTAGTTGCAGTGCTGGTGGTAAACCAGATGAGGGTAATTACAATTGTTGGGATGCTAGTGATAGCTTTTGTGATAATGCTTACAATGATTGTGGTGGAGATCGCTATTGTGATGATGATGATCCTGGTGGCAAAGGTAACGGTGGTGACAGTGGAAATGACCCTAGACATAACGATAAATGGGCCGTCCATAAATGACGTCACGCACCTGGGGGGGGGAGGGGGTCAGACATTTGTGACGATGTGTGACGAGGGGGGGGGGGGTTTGAGAATTGTGACGTCACATCAAAAGGCGCAACTTTAAATAAATATAGACAACACGTTTTACTTAATTAAATATACTTTTTAATAAATGTGTTCTCCTACAACATCAGAGTGCAGCGCTACATTAAATACGCACTACAATGACAATAGTTTAAAGCTATTTGAAGCATATTTTAAAAATAATTTGGGGGGGGGGGGGGGCAGAGCTTTGTGACGTCATATTTGAGGGGGGGGGGGTCTGACTTTTTGTGACGCCGTGTGACGAGGGGGGGGGGGGTCTAAAATCGTCCAAAATCGCGTGACATCATTTATGGACGGCCCCAAAGGGAGTATGACATCTATGCTGAAGGTTGTGGTGCCCGTAACGTTGATACTAGAGGAAACAGTGATGGTGATCTTTGCAATGGTAGTGATTGTGGTGATAGTGGAGGTAATGGAAGTTGATGGTCATGGTAACGGTAATGATATAGGACACCAATGGTATCCTGCACTGCAACCCTGGGTACTTCCCGCTCGTCCCTAATAAACTTGAAAAGGGACAGCGATCATGTTTGGGATGCGGTGCTGCACGACACTGGTGACCTCTTGTGGGGGTTTCAAGGCATAGCAGTGATTGCCATCACGACCCAACAACTTGGCGCATCTCCATTCACATTCACTTATACTGGTAGGAACGTCCTGGTTACACCAGCCCACAGGGGATTATTGTGTCCGTCCGTCCGTCCGTCGTGCATCCAAAAATGGGAGGGGTGGGGCTGGGTGGAAAGGGGAGGGTGGGGAGGGGCTGGGTGGGGAGGGGAGGGTGGGGAGGGGCTGGGTGGGGAGGGTGGGTGGGGAGGGGCTGGTCACCCCGTGGTGCCCTTATAAAACTCAACGTTTAACCTACTCACGCCGGCTTGTGCCCGCCCTCACAGTCGGCCATATTTGCGGAATACACCACGCCGCCGTTGACCCTGGCCATTGACCGAGCAACCCAACGTTCCTACCAGCTCCCCCCGCAGGAATGTGTTACCGGAGTTTCCTGAGCTCTCCAGAATGATTGGTCAATGTCCTTAAGCTATCAAGTTGACGAGCGTAATGTGATTGTTGATCTCGCGGGAAAAAATGCTACAATGTTTTCGTGGAAGACCAGCGGGAGTAGAGACTTTCAACTTTGTACAATAATCATTATGAATGATATGAATAATATTGGTCGCGAAAGCCTAGGTGTTAAACTGACCATCAACTCTGTTGTCATGACAAACCCCTAGGCCTGCTTGGGGGCTGTCCATAAATGACGTCACGCACCTAGGGGGGGGGTCGGACATTTGTGACGATGTGTGACGAGGGGGGGGGGGTTTGAGAAATATGACGTCACATCAAAATGCGCAACTTTTATTAAATATAGACAACACGTTGTACTGAATTAAATAAACTTTTTTAATAAAAGTCTTCTCTTACAACATCAGAGTGCAGCGGCACATTAAATACGCACTAAAATGACAATAGTTTAAAGCGATTTGAAGCATGTTTTTTTTGGGGGGGGGGCGCAGAGCTTTGTGACGTCATATTTGAGGGGGGGTCTGACTTTTTGTGACGCCGTGTGAAGATGGGTGGGGGGTGGGCAAAAATCCTCCAAAATCGCGTGACGTCATTTATGGACGGCCCCCAAGCCACTGCGTTGAACTATCATTTGTGGCCAGGTCGCTTCTGAAAAAGTGCTACATAGCTCAGTGAGCCTTACCTGGTAAAATATTTGTTTAAAAAAATCTATAATTTAGTTTATAAAGAGTTTAAGTTTGAATGCAATCCAATGCAGTGTCCATTTTCTTGGTTCTTTCGGTAAAGTCACGTAGAAGGGAAATAATAAAATAATAAAAAATAAAACATCATAAAATAAAATTCTCACGACGTTTCGGCCACAACGCAAGCAGCCATTCTCAGGTGAAGAACAGGGCTGTCGGAAAGACAGCGTCCGAATATCTTTCCGACAGCCCTGTTCTTCACCTGAGGACGGCTGCTTGCGTTGTGGCCGAAACGTCGTGAGAATTGTATTTTATTATGTTTTATTATTTTATTATTTCCCTTCTACGTGACTTTACCGAAAGAACCAAGAAGATGAATCCCTGCAGTCACGAAAGCTTTAAATCGCAGTGTCCATTGTCTGTTACGTCACAATGTTAACCGCGCTTAGAGCACGTGGTCACTCACCCGCTGTGCGTCACCGTGACGTCACACCGCGTAATCATTCCGGGCCCCACCTAGTGGCGAGCAGGCGCGCGCTCCAAAGCTCTTCACACATTTACTTTTATTTAACATTTTCACGTAATATTTGACGATTTTTATTTTTATTTTCGTATTCTCCTCAAGCAAGTGTGGGTTTTCCTCACAATTTCGGAAAGAAAGCAGGAGGATTTTGTGAAAAGTATCCGAGTTTCTGAGGTGAGTGATAATTTGCGATCTGATGCAGGCAGAAGGATATTAATATGACTACAAAATAATGTATATTTGATTTAAAACGTATTTTTAAACAAAGTACACATTTTCATGGTCTCCATAGGGGCCTTGGGGTACAATGCTCACTTACAAACCCGACGACCCGAGTTCGATTTCCTTTGGGGTCGTCCATAAATGACGTCACGTGATTTTGGACGATTTTTAACCCCCCCCCCCTCGTCACATGACGTCACAAAAAATCAGACCCCCCCCCTCAAATATGACGTCACAAAGCTCTGCCCCCCCTCAAATATGACGTCACAAAGCTCTGCCCCCCCCACCCCCCCAAAATGCTTCAAATCGCTTTAAACTATTGTCATTGTAGTGCGTATTTAATGTGGCGCTGCACTCTGATGTTGTAGGAGAAAACATTTATTAAAAAGTCTATTTAATTAAGTAGAACGTGTTGTCTATATTTATTTAAAGTTGCGCATTTTGATGTGACGTCACATTTCTCACCCCCCCCCCCCTCGTCACACATCGTCACAAATGTCTGACCCCCTGCCTCCCCCATAGGTGCGTGACGTCATTTATGGACGGCCCCTTTGACGGCCACCAACACCAGTGACGATTTTCTGAACCTGTCCGGGGCCTCCCCTAGGTCGACTCAGCCTCAATTGAGTACCTGGTGCAGTGTGTAGTAAACATCGCCACTGGAGAGACAAAGGCGGCCGGGCGTGGTGCTGGCCACCCACCGCCTCGGGTGCCGTGCCAGCCCTCAAAGGTGCGACTCGCTAACAGCACTTGCCCCAACAGTCTGTTAAGGCTACACGGGGGATCTTTGTCTTTTGGTATAATTGGTAGGGGTAGTGTTGGTGGTAAAGGAGATGATGAAGGTGATTACAATCATGGGGGCGCTAGTAATAGGTAGCTTATAATGATGGTCATGCTAATAGGTCACTGGTGCTATACTGCACTGACGCTCTTGTTGTTGTACTGTGTTGACACAATTAGTACACATTTGTGTTGCCTGTGAGGTTAATAGTGGTCACCCTACGTACATTCTGAACCCGCCAAAGGAATGTGGAATTTATATTCAAAGGACATCCACCTCTAAGCTTTCTATGACGTGGTTTTTTTTATCAGCCCTGAAAGATAATGGGCTTAGATGACTGTCAATTGAGATTTGATCAAACTAAATGTTAATTGTGACTTAAACTTCATGCGATAGTAAAACCTGTCCGAGATCTCTCCTTTGCTGACGAGTCTCAGTCGGCTCTCAGCTGGGTAAATAGTGGATATTGCACCTCCGATTATCACATATTGAAATGGGTTGAGATTTGGGATACTGTGCTTATTTGGATGAGGGAACGCTCTGACATAACATGTGTGCTGTTTTGACAGAACAATCCGTGGTTATGGCTGAGAACAAAGATACGAGTGTGCCTGGACAGGTAAGTGTTCATACCTGACACCTGCTCAGCTGATAGTGCAATGCTACAAACTCACATCTCAATACAATGACACAAACCCAATTGACAGCATGGACACCAATAGATCACATCACAGTATACACACAGAGATACCAGGTCACTTCAAAGTAATGTACAATGACACAAGCTCTCTGCACAGTACAGACACTATTTCAATCTCTACAATAGAAAAATTTGTTCCAAGGCCAATGGATGGCCACATAAAACACCTTAAGTGATCACCTGCCCTCTTAGCTCATACCAATTTAGATTACGAACGAAGGGAAATGCGACCTAAGTGCTTAAGCTGTCCACTTATAAAAAGTTCAATCTTAATTTGATGAAAAGTTTTATAAAAAGTTAATTCTTACGTTTGTTTGCCTAGGTAAGGATCACCTTAGTCTCACGACTCTTCGACAAGAGAGCCTTGTCATCATTTTCCCAGGAGGGTGGTGGGGGGGGGGGCGATGATTGCTTCCTATATTGCAGTTGTGTAGTTTCATAGATTTTGATGACAACGCCAGCATCCATTGGCCTACTCCTGCGAATGGCAGCACGGGATCTAAACGTCCACTCTGAAGCAAACGCATATTTGTCCCATAAATTATATCAGGGCGGCCGCTGGAATTGAACCGTCAACCTCTTTTGCAACAAGCGACAAACGCACGGCTACCAGGCTACGTTGCCGCGCCGGGGGTTGATCCTCCAGGCTTGATGGCCCACAACGCACGCTCGTGTGCGTCGCGTTGTACGTGACCAAGGTCTATTCTTAGTCTTAAGCCTCACCTTACCATATTAATAAAAGTATGCGGCCCTTGCTCTACCACCTCCTCCAACCATTATATAAACGGAGTGGTGGCTTCTGCAATCTCTCATTTACTTGATACAGCTGTCGTGGCTGTGACAGTACCACCTGAAGACGGAAGCTTGTGTTGCCTCCGAAACGTCGTGATTTTTATTTTATTTTACTTTTTAATGTTTTTTGACCTACGTGACTTTACCGGAAAAAACCTAAGAATATGAATCATTGCAGTCACGAAAGCTTCAAATCTAGAATTCGTGACCAAGGTGTTATTCATATATCTGTGCGTTTGTGTTTCCACGTGTAATTCGTGTGCGACGAACAGGCGTCGCCAATGGATGAAACTATCGTCTTCGCAGAGGCAGGGATATGCTGCACGCCTGCCGGTACTACTCCACTCACTACAGTATAACCTTAGCGCCCGATTCACTGCTAAATCTGTGCATCTAACACACCTTCCAAAACCATCACCATGACCTCACGAGCCTGTGATGTGATAGACCGAGTATCTGCACACGGGCTGATTCCATTGCTCCATTTTACATGAGGAATACTGTACGTTCCCAGATGTGTTGCTTCCACTCCATCGATATTCTCAACCGTCCGGCATAAGAGTTAATCCATCAATGATTCTATACCTTTATAAAGAACATAGTATATGAGGTTAGGCTGAGCTCTTGTTAGTGATGCTTCCGTCCTTGATGCTTGCTCCACTTTACACGTGTGCCTGGTATGTACGTGCGTGCGCGTGCAGATGTCCTCGTGAAATTCCAAGAGAAGATGACGGAATTTGAGTGTGACGAGATCCTTACATACAAATGGATATATTATTTCAAGATGCGTAGTGCGACAGAAGGTGCCTCCAATATCGGCTACGATGATGAAAATAACCACTACATACCGGTACGTCCCTTCAACATGCCCCACGTGCTTTCTAACCAGTTCTCATCTCAATGCAAATGCGACAACCCTTACACACAACGCGCTCAATGCCGTTGCTAATGCTTGTCAGAGTGTTGAATACTGGAATGGTATAATGCCAAATGAGTCATTTGTGGGTATTTTGGTAAATTTGGCAACTTTGGACCCTGACACCTACCCTTTGTGAATGACATCGTTCACTGTGAACCTGACAGCACGTGTAAAAAAAATGGTTAGTGTACCAGCAGTAACAATCGGGACAACCTCAGTTATATTCAGGAAAAGCAGATGATGAAGGTGGCGTTAATCGTGATCCTCTGTAACATGTGGCGAATGTGCTACCACCAGGACATGCCACCACCATGAATGTGTCCATTGAGGTGCGAGGTGGCTTTGATACATCATGTCTGTCAATGCACTTATCCAGAATCTGTAAGGTCTTCGGTTTGAAACCAGGGAAGTCGTCTGTGATAAAACTAGATTCGTGTATATAGCAGGCTTGATGGCCTCAGCTGGTCAGAAATGAATGCTGAATATGTGCTGTTTTTTCACTTTAGCCTTGCTCAGCTTGCAGGGCAAACAATGATACTCATACGATTCATAATTGGTTGATTTTGGGTGTATAAATGTGTGTCGTAAACCCTCCAGCCCACACAACCAATTCATAAAAGTGTCACGTGATTAAACTGCGCCAAATTCAGTTTCGTGATTAAATATTTTTATTACGTTTCGTGATTTTAAACTATCATTTGTATTAGAACATTATAATTATTTATATTTGCACGATATTCTCTCTGTTATCCTCTTTACACTTTCTCATTAATATAATGGATGGCTGCTGCAATTTTACAGACCAATTGTGTTTTTTTACTTCACCCTTAAATCACAATGTGTATTTTGGGGGGTCCAAAATAAAAACAAACGAAAATAGTTTTTTTTATTGTTATCATCATATGCAATTACTGGGGGCTTTATGCCAAGGTCATTCCCATTTCCCCCATTTCAGGTGGCCCTAATGGCCGCAATTTATTTCAAGGTGACGATCTTTCTGCGCAACACTCGGGGTCTTTTATGTAGCCTGAAAAATATTTATATATATGTCCAATCAAGTTTGGTTAAGGATTAATGCTGCTACATTGCTGATAGGCAGATGGGCAAACAGAAATAGTGGTTCCAATACCATTCATGGATTTAATTGGAAATATAAACGTGAGCAGTGATTGAGCTCTGGTTAAATGAGTGCTAATTTTGATTTGAAGCTTTCGTGACTGCAGGAATCCATACTCTTTCGTTCTTTCGGTAAAGTCACGTAGGTCACATAGGTGACTTTACCGTGACTTTACCGAAAGAACCAAAGAGTATGAGTGCTAATTTGTTATTAAACTGACCGAACGATTGAACCGTGTGTCAACACAGGTCATGGACGAGCATCTGGCATATAGGTACCAAGTACTGAAGGTGCTTGGGAAGGGAGGTTATGGCCAGGTGCTCCAGTGCCTGGATCATAAAACGAAACAGCAAGTGGCTTTGAAAATGTTCAAGCATGACTCAAGGTGAGTTTGGACAACAGCTACACCTATATCTGGATTTGAGAATACTAACTTGCGTTGTGTAGCCTGTAGCATAGGCAATGCTGTATCATATCAATCGGTTGTTCTTAACCTTTACTGCAGCCTTGCACTCATTTGATTCTCAATCGTGAAAAAAGATATAATGCTAATAGATACTTAGGTTTGATGAAACAAAGTAGTTGTACTTACATGCCTGTGCTTAATTTGTGTATCGACGATTTACCTTCTAAAACAATCTGGCATGTCCTGCACCCCCAGAAAGGGCATCTCGCAACCCTTAGAGGGTGCGTTTACCCCAGCTTAAGAGCCACTGATCTAAATAGTGATCAGAAGCTGTTGTTCCCTCTCCGAATAGAATTATAGCTCAAACATCATTAGAAACTGTTTGTATTATGCGACCACCTTTTATATCTGTGGTACCTGTAATTTTTTGGGAATTTCGATCTGCTGCCCAATTGGTAGTTTGTGCGGATACAGCGTTTTGACTTGGACTCGCTGATCCGATAGCGTACCTGCCACCTTGCCGTGATGATGGGGCACTCGGTCAATCTCTCGTGTAACAACAAACTGACAACGTCTCTGCCAAACGACGTTAACCAGGATTGAGCGCTCACAGCCTTGACCGATGCTCGATTGACTGAGCCATATCGGGCCTTCACGTGTCACTCTGCCTTTTTTTAACGTGCGAGCGCTAAGAATGTGGTGAGACTCATTCGTGCTTTCTCTCCACAGCATCGTGCATAATACGTACAACTCGGAAAGGGAAATCCTAAATGTCTTGAAGTCGGTGGACAGCAATAACATCATCAGACTCCTTCAAACCTTCAGATTCAGGGGCCACTATAATATGGTTCTTGAACTTGTCTTGTGAGTAGAATTGCATCCATTTAAGCAGTTGCATTCGTGTGATTGTGTGCACTGGTCGCTTCAGTCTCAATGCTTTATTGTTACTTTTGGTATCTCATGGAATATAAAACAATACACATGCAGCTCCTTCTTTGCACGTAACAATTTTTTTACACTTTTTTGCTTTACTAGATGCCTTTGAGCTGCGTAGGCTTTTTAAAATAGAGCAAAATAAAAAAAAACCTCAAAAGTTTTCCCCGCCTCATACTTCCCCACACCAGTGAGTGTGGTTTAAACGGATTGTTGTTGTTGTGTTTAGTTTGTTGTCCTTCCCCCGCACCTCTGATTAGCACGGTTGGCTACGTACGATGCGAGAGAAGTTCAACATACAATATTGAGTTGGTTACAGCACATTAATACAAGGAATCTGCCTTTATTATCATTCATACTTATGGTCAACGGTAGCGCTTGTTCGCTGTAAATGAAGTTGCTGCCCACCACTGGGCCGTCTGCGTATGGAATATTTGTGAAGAGCCTCATTTTAAGGGGCACCACAGTGGCGAAATGTTTACTACCTCGCGTGATATACAGGAGGTCGTGGGTTCGATCCCGACCTTGACGCCTGCTGCTGTATATTTGTAGTTTGGATGTTGTACCCGCGCTCGTGTGAATTTTTCCCCAGGTCCTCCGATTTTTCTCTCCACATTTAGAAACATGCTGATAAGTCACTTGTTGTTTGCACTATCATTTGTGGCCAGGTCGCATCTGAAAAAGAGCTATATAGCTTAGTGGGCCTTACCTGGTAAAATAAAAAATTAGTTTTTTTGGTTAGCCAAGATCATATTCCCCTGTGAGAGATTACAATTGGATTTGGTATCGGGAAAATCCCGAGCCGCAGTCAAACCACGAGTCCTGTACATGGAGCCAACCCTACGCAGTGGCCATGAAGAAGAAGGGACATAACCGTTAATATTGTGCTGTCTTGCAGAGGAGGAAACCTGAAAGAGGAACTCTCAATCACCTGCAAGGTTGATTTACCCAAAATCAGGCTCTACATGAGATCCATTCTGAGAGCCCTGGTGAAACTCAAGCGTGAGGCGATCATTCACGGAGATCTGAAGCTAGTAAGTAGAATATCAACATCCTCCTGCTTCGTTCATGCATTCATTGATTTGTCTGTTTGTATTGCCTATGAGGCAGTTCATGCCAAATACGACTCCCTCGTGATTGAACGGTAAAATATTAAAACTATTTATCTATGAGCCATGTCATTAAGTCATGAGGCAGCAACTGAAAGTGCCATTGCAGAATACTAACACTTGTTTACAACAATCATGAACGTACACAAACATAAATATATCTTTTTGTTTAAACATGTGCTTTTGAAATTCAAGAGTTGCTTTAATCTACGATTGTATGTACATCTACTTGCTATAAACATTGGGATTATTGGAAGTTGCATTACAATGACAATGCTCAAAGCAATAACTCATAAAGGTTAACGACATAAATATGCCATGGGTTGACTGACTGATAAATATGTCGTTAACCCACCTCCACCAGACAGCCAATTAGTGATGTTTGTCACATGAACAAAACGTGCCGATTAGTTACTACTTCAGCACACCGGTGAATATTAGTTTGCGAAAGCCTACGTGTTAAATTGAAGCAACAACTGTGACTTGCAATGTTAAACAAAGTGTTGAATTGAGCAGAACAAATTCACGATAAAAAAAGAGTCAAAGCTCGTTATTAAACGCATTACCGATTGGTGTGAGCACTGAAGTAGAGTGGCACACCCAGGACTGATGTTTAATGAGCGATCCTCCTTTATCTTCTCCAGGAAAACATCCTCGTCAAAGACCATGACACAGGCGATGTCAGACTCGCCGATTTTGGCCTCAGCGTTCGAGAGCGTCTCCATTGTAAGTGAGCTCGTCTGTGGGTGGGCACTTGTTTTATGTGTGTGTGTGTGGCACAGATGGTGCATTGCCAGTCATCTCAGTCAGTCAACCCATGGCACCTGCAGGGTCTGTCCCGTGACCTGCTGCCAACGGGCGTTTGACACTTGACGTGGCCTTAAAGTGCACATAGCCTGGCACAAGCGCCGTGGTGATGTCACCGCCACTAAGTAGCTAATGGCGGTTGTTGTGCTTATTTGAGTGTGGGGGGGGGATAGTGGTGGAACAGTGATTTGCACTAGACCAAACTTCCAGTCGTCCAGGTAATTTCTTCGCTATGCACAATACTCGCAATTGGTATTGAATAGGACTATCCTAAGTAAACTTGGAACAGTAGCTGCTACTTTTCTGTGTGCTACACAATAGATGCTCACAAACAACATTTGTTCTAACAGTCAAAGTAATTTTTTAAAATATATACTTTAATATATATTCTTTTGTTTTGTTCGAGTTTATGTATGATTGTTTAATTTATCTACGCACATTTCTCTGCACGGAAAATTTCTGCCATTGCTGATCAGCTTTGGGCTGGACACGTGTGTTGAAGAGCTTCATCGCTCATCAGATTCCTGAGGCTTAAATCATTCGTCTATGTCTCAGAATGAGGTGGCACTCAAGTTCAATTTTCAAGTTCATTTATTAGGTATAGCCCTGTGAGCCATTCGGCTCTTGAATCGGGTGCAACCGCAACAAACAAAAAACAAAAACATGAACAAAAAAACATCTTAAAGTGAATATGTGACTGAGTGCAAACAGAAAATCCAAGAAGAGACAGAAAAATATTGCAGAAAAAACACCGCACACCAACGCTGTGTGCAAAAATCCCAGTGGGATGCAAGTCAAACAACAACAACAACCACAAAACAACTTAGATTAAGGCCATCAGTCTAACTCTGTACTACAACAAACAAACAAGGCTAAACCAATACAATTTTCAAAATCACAATAAATGGCATAAACAACATGTACTATCAAAACCCTGCAGCCATAGCTGGCTGCATGAGTCACTCAACAACAGCAGGAGCATCATGCCCGTTGTTGGTTCTGAGCCAGTGGTGGAAATTCCACGTGCCCGTTGGTGTGGGTGTCTATTGCAATTGCTGCGGCGCAATGTACGACTCCGAGGCAGGTTCCATCAGGGGCTCACGCTAAGTTTATTGAGGGCTTACGCCGAACCAAAACTCCTCGAGCCTATAACTCCCCAGGGGACTGTGATGCCTACACCCCGGCTAACTCGGCTCTCCTCCCTGCCCCGGGCCTCTAAACCCACCTCAGACGCCGTGCTGATTGTAATAGGTGCTCGCTAACAGCGGCTAACCCACCAGTCTGTTAAAGCTATCCGGAAGATGAACCTTTTTGTTTGTGTGTGGCGAGCAGTCTTCACGCACCGCGGCACCAAGGGTTACATGGCCCCGGAGATGTACCTCTATCTCCCGGTCACGTGCTCAGTCGACATGTGGTCTCTGGGTTGCATCGCAGCAGAGCTGGCCATGGGGAAACGATTGTTCAGGAAAAAGCAAATATTTCACGTTGGGCGCATCATACAGGTACGTGAAGAACAGGATAACAAAAAACCTCAGCATGGACAAATAGATATTATTTAGAGATCTAACCAACCATAGACCCTGCAATCAACGAGAGCATTGTTTTAGTTTATAGGTGGGCGATGGCACGTTTAACAGTAGGAATGGCAAACAGATTTCTGCGCAATTAAGTGTACGGTTGTAATCTTGCGGAGTCCCAACGTCGTTCTGCGCGATGGCCCAAATTTTCCAAAGGTTGAAAAATTACCCACAAATCACTACATTTTTTAAGTTGTACATAAACCATCGTCTCCTGCCGAAAACTTCTAGGGACCTCCTGTGAAATAGTCAAGAGACGTGAGGCTTTTTTGGGTAAACAAACGTCATATCATTAATTATAATATTCCTTTTAATTATAATAATTATTGTTCTCTGGGCTAGGGTTACCTTTGGGCTCGTGGGTTTTGTGAGTTGCAAAATCATGCATTTATGTAGTACGCATCTCATCCATCGGGTTTCATGATATATCTTTTTATTATACGTCCCAATTTTTTGCACCTCCAGAGGTGACAACCTTACACCGGGCTAATTCCCCTGGTAAATACGTCCTGCTTCTGCTCGTACACAGGTGCAGAATTGACATCGTTACCGCGTGGCCAGATGTCAGTAGAAATTGGGATTAGGGCTCATTATTTCCAGACTCGCACACACACCCTGAGCAGTCATAGGGTTCATGTTATATTGATGCACTGCGCTGTAATATACACCACGTAGACCCGCAACCACCTGCGACAATCTGGTCTGTGTAGTGGTCACCCTATCCAAGCACTATCCAGGCTAAACCCGGCTGCATTTCTGAGATCTGATGATACTGAACATTTTAGGGGGTGATTTGGTCGTAGGCAACCGGATGTATGTAATCACGTGTTTATTTACATCTGATCTCACCCACGTCAACTCATCGTCACTGTGGTGTGTGTGTGTGTATATATAGGTCCTGGGGCTTCCGCCAATGAACATCATAACAGCCTTGAAAGTCAAGATTATTCGCATTGGTGAGTGAAGGTGTCAGTTTTGTTGTCAGATAAAAGGGTAAAAAACCAATTATCATATTTTGCTACTGGCAAATGAGGTTCCAATGGTGAGTGGAGGGGAGTTGCTACTTCTGCTGTCACTTTTCATCGAGCTGTGGCCATGCAGCCAGCGATACTTGTGCTCTGTGTTAATCTGGGTTTTTCTTGGCCCATGAGCCAACAGTGAGTCTCCAAATGCAAGTGCATCTTGATTTTGAGATTTAAAACAATTAGCACGTTTAGATAGCACAGTGTATGGGAAAAAGCCATAGTTAGGTGCCATCTAACAGCGCTAGATATATGCATTACATCGATTTACAGACATTAGTCTTTCAAACATATAAACGTGGCCTCGTTGAATATTATTGCCAATAAAGTAAATGCCAAATGTGTGTCAGGTGTATGCTTATCAGCGGTTATCAGTACAGCCGGCCATGCTATCTTACATGACAACTGTGTTATGGAAATACTCGTCGTCACACCTTTCATTAAGCGAGGTTATCTGCAAATATCAATGCAAAGCTTCTTGGTTCTTTCGGTAAAGTCACGTAGAAGAACAGGGCTGTCGGAAAGACAGCGACCTAATGACGCTGTCTTTCCGACAGACCTGTTTTTCACCTGAGGACGGCTGCTTGCGTTGTGGCCGAAACGTCGTGAGAATTGTATTTTATGATGTTAAATTTTTATTACTTTATTATTTCCCTTCTACGTGACTTTACCGAAAGAACCAAGAAGATGAATCCCTGCAGTCACGAAAACTTTAAATCGAAATTCAATGCAAAGCGTCTGCTGCTGTTCGAATGAGAACATCGGGGAGTGCTCCTCTCCGTTGTTAGTCCCCAAGCCAATCGTGGGACGTCCAACATTAAACTATCGCGGGCGCCAAGCTTTCCACAGGACAACCCGCTGATGACCTGCCACGGTAGGATGCTCCTCTCTGTTCAGCCTCGAGGGATGTTGAGCTGAGTCAACTGGAGCCCGGGATTTGGATTTGCGCCATTCAGTTTGTGCGTGAAGTACGACTCTATGTTTGCGGAACTTCTTTCGCACCGTACGTAGCCGACCGTGCTAATCAGAGGTATTGTAGTCTGCTTCACCAGGACTAATTCCCCTGTTGCTTCTCTTTCTCTCTCTCTTCTCTCTGAAAACAGATGATGAAGGTGGCGTTTATTCCAACGGCAAGAAAACCACCCCTGGCAGTGACCCCCTCGACAAACTGCTTGGGATCGAAAATATTCATTTCCTCCACTTTGTCAAAAGATGCCTTGAGTAAGAGACAAATCACTGACTGCGCATCATCTCTTATGGGTAGCCACCGAACGAAGATGGTGACCGCATCGCTCTTACCTTCCGCTATTAGGAAGCCAATGGAGCCTTTGAATCTAGATTTAAAACGAATCTCCTCCGACTAGCACGGTTGGCTACGTACGGTGAGAGATACATTCAAGATACATACGTCTGAGTAAATCATTAAAATTCACATTTCCCATTGACACTCGCTGGAAAAAAGTGCGCTCACCTGGTTGAGCTTGGGCAGCTTTATACCTTTTCAGGGAAAAATGTATCTTCCTTGCACCTCCTTAAATTGAATACAAGATATGCTATGGCAGAGGGTAAAAATAGCTCACGCCCACTCCAGATTTGAAAACGATTTTAGAAATGTTGCCGGCCTTGTATTTTTTCCCTTGGTTTTTATTCGCTTGCCAGATGGGATCCTATTCGGCGGCTCACACCCCAACAGGCCCTGGATCATCAGTGGATACGTGACACCTCACCCGACCCGGCTGTGGAGCCTCAGTCGGTGGTGACGAGCTCATCCCTAGACCCAGCAGCACCAGCGCCTTCTGACGCACACGAGACAACTTATCTCACTCCTGGCAATTGCGGAACGATTTCTGGACCATCCGATCCAGGTACCCGTCCCGTCGCTACTGGCGTCCACCAACACATGGAAGTCGTACATGACTGCTCTAGAGTCAAATTGTGAGCAACCGAACGTGATCTCCTTATCGCTACCAACATCAATCCACGCCCAGGGGCAATGTGACGAGAGGTCGAGCGGCACTCAGGAGGGCCTCCATGAAAACATCGGCGGTGAAGAAATTGAGTCGACCACGAGGCAACAGTGAGTCTCTGTGTGCAAGTGCACCTTTGGTGAAAGTTTTGGGCTGGCTGGGTTATTCAGTGAAAGTCTCCCTTCAACTGGCGTAGGGAAATTTACATCTCCAATGCGGGGACACTGAGAAATTATAGTTTATTGTAGACGGGCGCCTGTCTAGTACTACAACTGTTGTAGACTCCCACAGAGCGGTACTGATTTATGATCTATAGGAAATAATTGGAAACTGTTGAGCCATATTAAGATAACCTCAAAGAGATAATGGTTATGTATTCGATGAGATTACTATTTTGTATCTGAAGAGATTAGGTTTCTGTTTTGAATGAGACATCTACGCTGACTTAAAATTTAACTGTTCCATTGACATGACTTAAACACACATAAATGTCCCCAAGCCACTGATGGATATAATCCGTCATCTCTTAAGATCCTCTGAGCCAACCTCCAGCCAATTGCAGTTATGCCCATGATAAATACAAACTTATTCAACTGTATCCCACTGAAAGCTTTTGAGTTCAATAACCAGTTGACGTGTCAACAGTCCCCATCATCCCTTTGGGGTATCGTAAAATGAACAAAGCTTGGCCCTGTCATAGCACTATAGAATCTCCGCCACTTTCCTCAGGTTGCCAATGGAGATGAGTACCGGACTCAAGAGCGTAACGATGGGACGCCTTGTTTCTGTGCCAGGTGGGAGCCCGTTCCTTGCCCCAGCGAGGATCATCGCGATGAGGGGAAGGAAGATGCCGTCACCTTCCTCAGGGCGACGCAAGCGAAGGGGTCCCGGCAGGAGATTCCCACTTGTGAAGAAGGGCTTCCGGGCACTTCTTTGCTGCTGCTGCGGTGTGGGCCGAGGAGACTGAAGGCCCAGGCAGTGAAGTACAGGGTAGTGAGTGTGGGGGGCCGGGGTGGGGGGGGGGGGGATTAACCCCCATGCCTTGCGAATTTGTTGCTCCCCTAGCAGCTGCTACGTGACATGGAACCCAGCGGCAGATGAGGCGATGGCGCGGCAGGAGAGGCGACGGCGGAGACGCTGAGGACTCGTCACGCACTCGGGGAATCGTCCGCCGCCGGCAGTGCGCGGAGAAGACCGTGCGAGCCAAGAGGAGTGGGAGATGGCTGCCCATCATCACACACCGCACACGCAGGGGACTAGCCCTGATCAATGGGCCCTCACAATCCGACCTCTCCCCTGAGGTTTTCTTCCCAGGCGGCCAAGTGTGCGAACTCAGCCAAGGGTTTCCCAGAGGGGAGGAGATTTGGCCAAAGTCCGATGTGAGTTGGGAGCTCCGGCCCCTGTGACGAGAGTGAGTTTGCCACGAGACCACCTCCCGGAGAGTCCGGATGACAGCAAATGGACGCATGATAACCGTGTTGTATGCTAAGAAACACACGGCACCCAGTGTTTTTCGTGATTAGTTGCCACCGGAGCCTTTAGCGGGTAAGCTAATATTGCATTCTCTCACCCGTCCGTGTCTATGTCGAGACCCGGCCGCGACTCGTGTGCATTTGAGATGCAATCTTAGCGGTATCCTGGAATCAAGTTAGAGGCTCGTCTTGACCGTGCGTTCCATTGGCATTTCGTGTAACCCGAAATTTCCGATTTAATACAAATCATGAACAGTGTATCCACGACCAGTGTCTTCTGAGTGGGCGTTGTAAGAAGAGTGTTGGGTAGGATGGTGCAGCGTGGCCAAGGCGCGGCAGGCACAGCTGACGGCGTGCCAGTTTAATTCTCCCCAACAGCGAGTGGCCTGTGTGGCCTCGGGGAACCTCTGTAAACGCGAGTTCTTGCCGACTTGCATCGTAGGTTGCACGGTGTTCAGCGAGCGGAGGAGGAGGTGGGAGTGAGTGTGTTTGCGAATTTGGGTGTCGCTGGACCCGCCAAAGGAGTCGCGAAACACTGGAAGTAAAACATACCTACTGAGGATATGCGAGAGAGGGGCAGAGACTTCCATTGTGCACCACCGTGATATGTGTACCACCGTGCGCCACCGCACACCACCGCCACCGTGTACCACCGCCACCGTGTACCACCGCCAATGTGCACTACCACCAACGCAGCAGCATCACCAAAAAAATCAATTCCACATCGGTTTTGACAATTTTACTACGATAAAATGATGGTTTAACATATCTTTACATAGCAATGAGCCATAGTTCAACACCTGACGACAAAACATAGACTGTACAGCAAAAGGATAATAACTTCTAAGACGACACACGCATAAGCGGCTACAACAATCGTGCGTGCGGAATGAGGAGCGAAAAGTTAAAATCACAGCGGCCCAGGTGGCGAGCTCACTCTCCCATCCTGCTTTAAACCCAGGGGCACAGAGTTCGGAACTGAGGTCCGCCGAGTTTCTTGTACACCCCCCCCCCCCCACTCGCGTCGCAGTTTGTGCTCAGTACCGGGCTCCTGTTGAAATATAATAAACTAAAATATTAACAAAAACTAAACATATCACAGCAGCCCGTGTGAGAGTTCCATTACTACAAAAGCAAGAGGCAGAATGGGTTTAACACGCAGGAGGATTTCGCTACCAATATTATCCATAAGAGGTTTTGGGTTAGATCGTGTGCTGCATTAATAACAAATTGGCATGTTTTGTTTCCGTGACAAACCTCACTAATTGGCTGTTTCGGGTGGTGGCGGGTTTAACGACACATTTATATTTACGTGATCTAACCACAAAACCTCTGTTATCGGCAGAATGGTGTTTGACAGATTTCAGATCTGCCTGTAAAACACACCGGATGCAATAGAACTCGTCTTGCATGAAAACTCGAGTCCTATCATGGAAAAGAGGAAGATTAATAATCTAAACTATTAAACTATGTTTTTTTTTTACCAGGTAAGGCCCCACTGAGTTATGTAGCTATTTTCAGAAGCGACCTGGCTATCACAAATGACAGCTCAATGAAGTGGGTTTATCATCTACGTCACCATCGCGTGGAAATTTATAGCAGCAGCCGAATACACTAAACGCGAGACGTTGATTATAAACGTCGAGGGAAAAACCGGAGGACCCGGAGAAAATTACACACGACCACGGGGAGAAAACTCAAACTCCAAATATACAGCAGCTGGCCTCAGGGTCGGGATCGAACCCACGACCTCCTGTATACCAGGCGAGGGAGATAACATTCCTAGCCACCGTGGCGCCCCAAGAATATCTCACGAAACCAGACGAGGGGAGAACTGCGTATAAACGCATCATCTCCAGTGGTTTATTATTACGCAACTGACAAAAAACCGGGACATTTCAGGGGAAAAATAATATCTATAAATGCCCACGGAAGACTTACAGATTTCCCAGGAACGCTACCCCAATAAGAGAACATCCTGGGAAAAAAGAAACTAGGGCAGGTAGCGACGCTGGCGTACACCCCTTGAGCTAATCCACTCAATGGATGAGGCCCCCGCCATCATTCGGTGTGGGCCATGACCAAACTTGAGTGGGTTCCACACATCGTGGATGATAATCCACTCTCCAGATCTCGCCAGGACGTGTATGCCACCCCGATTGCGGAAACACTGCGCTGCTTGCTAAGGTGGGGGGCTGTGGGTTTTACTGGCGAGGCTGAGATATTACAGACCGGGTCTCGATTCGCGTTCTCGCAGATTGTTTGGCAGGCAACAGCCGAGTTTGTCGTTTGTTTTCAGCCATGGTCGGCGGATGGTTGCTTTTTCATTGCTTTCATGGCTTTATTTTGGTGATTTCGAAAAGTGTGTTGGTTTAGCCATGTTTGTTTGTTGTAGTACAGAGTTAGACTGATGGCCTTAATCTAAGCTGTCTTGTGGTTGTTGTTGTTGTTTGACTTGCATCCCACTGAGATTTTTGCACACAGCGTTGGTGTACGGTGTTTTTTCTGCAATATTTTTGCTGTCTTTTCTTGAATTTTCTGTTTGCACTTAGTCACATATTCACTTTAAGATGTTTTTTGTTCATGTTTTTTGTTTGTTGCGGTTGCACCCGATTCAAGAGCTGAATGGCTCACAGGGCTATACCTAATAAATGAACTTGAACTTGAACTAGTACCTTTTCACCACGAAATAAAATGGGCCTTAGATTTTGTCTCCGTCGATGTCTGGACATTTCAAAGTGTCGGTGAGAGTGCAGAGAAGGTCTGTGAAACAACGAGATGGAAAATCTCGTGGGAGCCACCCATCAATATACGCAGAGTTTAGAGCTCAGCTCTCGATCAGTCCAGGGCTGAGCACTGGAAAATACTTCCCCATTCCTTCCTCGCTGTTCGGGGAGGTGGGTGGTGGACGTGGATCTGGGGATTAGGGGTACCACGGAAAATATACCATGAGAAATTAAACCCTGATTCCTTCGAGGAATCAAACCCTGATTCCTTAGAAAAAGTTATTCCCCGTTCTTACCGCACTTATTTTAAAACCAAATAGTTCCAAAATATATTTTCAAAAAGCGGCAAGTAATAAAAATGTGTTTGTTTGACCCACACATTCCCGAATGTTCAACACCTTGAGGAAGCCCTGCGTTTGTAGGTTTGAAAAAACCTTAAGAATTTTTTTTTCATTTCTGGGACAAATCCTATGCATGCAAGTTTGCTCCGTGTGAACCACAGCATGTCCCCAACATACTGTCGGCAGATACTCCGCGTGAAGCATATAGGCAGGAAGGCAGGAAACAGCCAAGCCCAGCATGGCACGGGTTCATCACGTGACACTCCGCTCATCCTCACAGCAGCAGCGGTGGCGGCTGTTGGCTCGGCCATCAACCAAAGACGGAGTTTTTTACGTGACTTTACCGAAAGAACCAAGAAGATGAATCCCTGCAGTCACGAAAGCTTTAAATCGAAATTTAAAGACGGAGTTCACTGCATCGCGCCGCTTTCAGATGCGCTTCTGCGGCCGTCTGGAGCGTTCTTCCTTCCGATATTAGGAAGAAGCTACTAGAGCTATACAATTTTAAATATACATTGAAAACCCATTTCTTTAGAACCGCTTTTTGTGTTTCGTTGTATGTCCTTCTGCAGCACCTCCGATTAGCACGGTTGGCTACGTATGGTGCGAAAGAAGTTCAACACACGTGCATATAATGCCAATAGCATCACCGATCTCCGCCCATCATCTCCCATCCAGCGGCATATGTGGCGTGCAGAGTTTTATTTACTTAAACTTTTTTCCCCACGACTACCTTGATGTCATTCGATTCGTTTAACAGTCGAACCGATAATCAGTGTAATCATACTCGGAAACGCAGCCTAATTTTAACCCGATCGCAATATCAAAGACTCAATATATTGGAGGGATTACTTAACTTGTAGGGATTGCTCAACATCTGTTTGCCGGAGCCGCGCAGACCATTGCGTATCCCGGCGGACATTAACTTCAGAATTTAGGTTCATCATCACACGCAGCTCTCGCGGCTAAGAGGAATCAAAATCCTTGCTCCAAAATTCGGGCCATGCCTCCCTCCCAACTCATTTCAGGACGTGTCAACCTGTCGCCTTGTCCATCCCTCACCGCCACCCCCTGGGGCTTTCTCCCCCATACCCCCCAAACCTCTACTTGGTTGAATGGGCCTCTTCCGGCAAGGTCGGCTGATTGCAAACGGCCGAATTTTCTCCGAGCTTCTTCGCCAGCCGCCGTTGGTAGAAGAGGAGGTGGAAGGGCAGGCCGAGGCTCAGCACCGAGACCGCCAGCAGAAGGCCGTTCACCTGTTTCAAAGACAAAGATCCCCCCTGTAGCCTTGACCGACTGTTGGGGCAAGTGCCGTTATTGAGCAGCACCTACGAAGGCCGTCACTGCGCATG